TGCTTTTCATGCGTTATGGTTCGTTTCCAATAATAATACCACACCACTAATAAAACCGTGCACAACCGTTTGATAACGAAACAGGATTTCGTCTAGTATACATGAAGGCCTACAGCACTCTATTTCCAAATGTGTCAATTGACTGATCGTTGCAAAGCACCTACATTTCTTGATTTCTTCTAAATGACAGCAAGCCAGACGGATTAAATTCACGGAATGTTTAGTACCAGTATACGGAAGCGTAGGCCTATTACGACCATCCAATTTACCATGCTACTGAGATAATTTATCTTGGAAACATAGAAACATTTATCCGATAACACAGAATTCATAGATTCAGAATTCATAATTCAGTGATAGTTTATCATGGAAACACAGACTTCAACGATAACATATCTCATAAACACGGAATTCAACGATAACGTTATCTCGGAAACACGGAATTCAACAATAATTAAAATACGGAATTCAGTGACAGCGTTTCCCAGAATTCAATGATAGCCTCACTTATCAAGGAATCACATAATATAATATCATTCATGATTATTTCAACGAAATCATATCTCGGAAACACGGAATTTGACGATAAAGTTATCTCGGGAACACGGAATTAAACGATAATAATTATATCTCTGAAATACGGACTTCAGTGAATAACCTTTCTCTGGGAAAATATAATTCAATGATAACTTATCATAATCAATTTGATAAGTTACTGTTGGGATATAAATCCAAATGATTTTATGTGCGCGCCTTTAACTATATGATATATAACCGTACGGAAATTTTGGGCTCCATATACTTGTCCCTTTAAAGGGAATGTACATCATGTGCTTTTGCTGTAATTTTCAGAAATGAACTATTTGAGAGGTTAGTATAATAGATCAAATATTGTTACACTGACATTTTTGAAGTTTGGTGTTCGAGAAGGTTGGAAAAACCAAGAAAAACAAAAATGTTGAAGTAGTCTGGTTCCCTGACTCCACAAAAGATAAAATGGATCAATTTATAGATGATGGAAAATTGTAAGGCAAGGGAACCAGTCTAGCTGGCCTGCACCCGTTCATGAACATGTAACCAATAGCAAACAAAATTTGTACTGAAAAAAAATGGTAAATTTGGAATAGTAGTTGAAAAATAGTTAGGTTTTTCCATTGCTGGTTGGCCGACCACCGTTGGAAATGTTTACAAAAATACCATTTTCTTGAAAATGACTTCACACCAGGTGCCATAATTTTACAAGATGCTTGAGACTGTCATTTACCAACATCCTAGTAAGGTATTTCGTAAAAACTTGGTAGTTTTATTTTTCGATGTTTGCAAATGTTGTATATTCCCTTTAAAAGTTGTAATAAATTATCTGATGGCATTACCCTGCTATACCGAGAGCTATATAATGCGCATGAGTAGACGACTTGAATTTTCATATGAAATCAAATAATAAAACCTGACCACTGTGAGGGCGCTCTATGCAACCTCTCTTTGTAATCATGATTATCCGAAATTGGAAGCGCAAGAAATATTACAATGGTTCAAAATAAAGGAATCCCCTTTTGACAGCAATGTTCACCTATCTTTAAAATTATTTTTAACTTTTGATTTGTAGCTATTAAAGTACTGGCCTTTTATAAGCATAAGTGACGAAAAATCGTTGCAATTGCATTTTTGTGTCTGAGCTATGGTAGTTTGAACATTTCAAGTGCGAAACCTGTTTGTCCACGGAGGTATACATTCCATCTGCTTGACTGAGCTCAGCTATCGGAGCTTGATTTGAAGCCAAAATATTAGCACACTTCAAACAAGGATTGTTAGTTCTACTTCTTTTTGATTGTTGTGTAATGCTGTGCAACAATTAACTTAAGCCAATACAGCTCCTTGGGTAGTTGATCTTAACACATGAATAATGAATAATCGGACATGAATAATCGGACAGCCTCAATAAAAGTTACCAGGTCAAAACATTTTGTTGGCCTGGGCCTGCTTTGTTCATGGTATAACTTAAACCTTTTGGTTAATTTGTCGAATCCTCCAAAAGTGGTCGTTGACAAACCCAACAAATTATGCTAATGACAAATCGCCAGAGCTATGTCTTAACAGAATCTTAAACAATGAAAAAAAAAATGAATAGTCAACCCAACAATGTAATATCTGTATATATGCCAAACTGATGGCTATATCAAACCGAAGAGACAATTATGTTAAAAGTATGTGACTTCTACTGCTATTTTGGGGATATCAAGGCTTACATCCGGGGTCTAAAATGAATTTAAGACGGTGAAAAAAAAAAAACAGAATCACCAAAAGCTCTGCCAAACGATGCCTCACAGCGACAAGTCTGTGTGGCAGTGCGCGAGCCCACCACACCCGTCTGAAAGCTCCACGTGGCTGTCTCGGGAAGATCTGCTCCATCTGGGGTACCACAAAGTCATCGATCATAATTATCCAGATATGCCTACATTAGGCGGGCTGGCCTACAATAAGTAACAGCAAAAGAACACCTGTCTGCCCTTGGCCGCCCAGGTAAAAACTAATCACAGTGCTGGTGCTGACCTCTTTCATAGAGGCCACGTTTGCTCAGTCATCCATGACAATGACGTTATGAACTGAATATCACTGGGAGGACTTTTTCCTGGCCTTTTCCCTTGTTCTTGCCTCCTAAAATATTCAGTACACTTCTGATAATTTACATTAAAAATGAATATCTTTTTTTGACGCCCTGTACAGTAAAAATGTTTGGGTTCTATCTTCATCAGTCCAACAAAATCCATTCAAAACCCGTTGGATGTTAAAGGATTCAAGGGCTTGCAGTTAAAATATACATTTGCAAACATCAAAAAACTAAACTGCCAAATTATTACAAAATACCATACTTGGCTGTAACTGAATAATACTCTAAAGCATCCTGTGAAATCATTGCACCTGGTATGCTGTCCTTTTCAAGAAAAATGAAATGTTTGGATCAATTTTCAACGATGGTTGGCCGACCATCGTTGGAAAAAAAACAGCCTTCTTCAAATACTACCACCAATTTATCAAATTTAGTTAGTCCACATTTTATTTGCAATCCATTACACATCCGTGAATGGGTGCAAGCCAGCTAGTCTGGTTCCCTGACCTGACAAATTCCCAGACGTTTATAAATAGCTGTGTTTCGTCTGAAGTTGGGTCAGGGAATCAGACTACCAGAAAATATTTTTTTCTTGGTTTTTCCAGCATCTATGAACACAAAACTTTAAACAGGTCAGTGCAACAATATTTGCTATAGCATACTAACTCCCAAATCCACCCATTTCTGAAAATTACATCGAAAGCAAATGTGATGCGATCAAGCTAAATGAGTTGTTTGTCGACCTAGTCATTTTTTTTTACAGATTTGAAAAGAACACAATCTCAGCATTACTGATGTAAAAACCGCATGCTGATACCATCTTTAGTTCAAAAATTATGGAGGTCGGAACACCAAGAGATGTGAAGTGATGTGATGAAGTGGCCCTATTTTGGCCTGTATCTCCAAATGAAAGTTCCAGACAAATGACTCATTTAGCTTGATCGCATCATAAATGTTGTATACATGTATTACCTTTAAAACTGAATTCCCAAAAAAAAATTCTGGGTAACAAAGGAATGAAAAAAAACAAAACACACCAATTGAATGTAAATTGTTTTGATTTTATTCATACATGATCATTTTTACAACATTGTATGTATAAGTGATCGATTATACTCTATGGAATACTGCCAATCAGTAAGACTATCAAAGATCATTTCAATGATTTTAACAAATTGTTTTTTTTTTGGAGAGCCATGCTTAAATTTAACAGCTGTAACCATAAATGTTGACCAGTTCAAGTAGTAGGAACCCTTCTGCCTTGCTCCGAAACACCCAGACCCTAAAGTTGTACGAGATCAATTTTGATTTTGAGGATGGAAAAGAGGTGCAATGTTGTGGTATTTCTTTTAAACTAGAAATAATTGTGAATAGAGTATGCAAATCATGTGAAATTTTCAGTTATTAGTCAATAACATGTACTTTCATAAGATGGAATTTCTGAGTCGGGATGATGTAATTCAATGTTAGGTTTTGCCCTTCACCGACGTATAAACACTGTATATACTCAGTGTGTTACATGTACCTCCCGAGTGAAAGTTGGACAAAAATCAGGTGGGACTCGAACCCACGACCTCCTGCTTTCTAGTGTAGATGTCTTACCACTCGACCACCGAGCTTGCGAGATCGGTTGGCTGGTTCGAATCTGATGTACATGTAGCAGCGGGTACCGCAATTAAACTATTCATAAGATGGAATTTTTGCGTCTGGGTGATGTAAAGTAATATTAGGTTTTGCCCTACACCGACTTATACGTCGGTGAAGGGCAAAACCTAATATTGATTAACATGTACTTTATTCCTATGTTATTGTTATTAAATGGAGCGAACCACATATTTTTAAAACATTTTATCGAACTCGGTCATTTTTTTTTTACTCACCCTGTATGCAATGATGCTGATGAGTTTTGTACCAGGCTTCGGCAGATGTATCTCTCCCCATTAAAAATTAATTTATAAGACAATAAAAAATAATGACCCAGACAGTTATAAGACAATAAAAAATAACGACCCAGACAATTTCAAAGAAAAGTAAAGAGTTTACTTGTAGCGTTTTGAAAGTAGGCCAATGTATACAGGGTGAGTAAAAAAACCCACCAAACCCAAATGTCGGGACCATTGTTTTAGTGACGTTCTAAATGCAGTACTTTCAAAATCTAGGGATTGTTTTCGTTTTGCTGAAAGAACGCACACCTTTTGTGTGATCCGTAGACAGAACTTTAAAACGGTGGTTGTGTTAAAAATTCCATACCTTGAAAAGTACTTGAGTGATTTGAATGATTCTTGTACTAAAAGAAAGCTTGTGAATTGGGCTTTCATATCCTAGATATTGAAAGTGCTACATGCAGAACTTCACTAAAACAATAGTCCCGACATTTGGGTTTCATGTTTTATTTTACTCACCCTGTAGTACATCATATTGTACCCCCATAAAAATGGTACACTCTATGGCCAAGTTGTTATAAAGTATTGTGTTCTTTCACCTAATGGTTGGCTGGTTTCACTCGTTTGTTCTTTTTCGTCCGTTTGTTCTTTTTCCTCTTACTTCTCTTGCCCTCGGCGGGTCTGAAATGGAAAACGAAAAAGAAACAACAAGTTATATGTGACCTCCGCTGGTAATGACAGAAGTCTCAAAATTCACATACACATGAAATTGGGAACCCTACCTCCAAAATAAACAGTGGTGTAAGGGCTTGTCTCCATTCCGGGACGAGTTCCGGACAAGTTGCAGGTAGAATCATTCACTTTGTTCTGAAGAAGCTCTGCATTTGTCCCGGACATGTTCCGGGGAAATTTTCATTGACAACTGCTTGACTCAACAATACTGATAACTTCATTGCGGGAAGATTGCAGGGAAGTTGTTCAGAATCCTGCAACTTATACCCGATACAATGTCCACAACTCGTCCCCGGATATGAATTGAGTCGGGTCCTAACTTGAGTTCAAGTTGCAAGGGAAAGAGTGCCTCATTTTCAGGAGGAGGCGGTCAATAGGTTGTTAAAAATAAAAAGCTCATTTTTGCCTTCCCTAAAATTTTGAGGGGGTGGGGGAAGAAGTGGGGAGCCACTGTCTTTTTTTTTGGGGGGGGGGGGGTGGGGAGGGGGGAGTCCTGTGCCCCATGCCATCCCTTAGTCATGGAACTGAAAATAAAATGTTAAAAAATTAAACAAAAAGCTTGTTATACTTACTTGTTGTTGAATGCCTTGATGACGCCCCTGACTGCTGAGGTCAGCTCACCAGACCGACTGACTTCAACCTTCTTGAGGAGCTCTTCAAGCACGGATTCCATCTTGGAGAAATTGGGAAGCTGCTGGGACAAAGATAACAAGGATTTGATTGGTTGCTCGGTCAAAGGTACAAGAATCTGATTGGCTGCTCAAAGGTACATGAATCTGATAGTCTTTGTCTGGGACAAAGATACATGAATTCATTGGCTGCTGGGACAAAAATACAAGAATCTAATTGGCTCCTGGGATAAAGATAAGAATTTGATTGGCTACTGGTACAGGAAGCTGATTGGCTGTTCAGACAAAGGTACAAGAATCTTATTGGCTGCTCAAGGGACATGAATCTGATAGTCTTCTGGGACAAAGATACACAAATTTAATTGGCTGCTGGGAAAAGATACAGGAAACTGATTGGCTGCTGCGAAAAGGTGAGAGAATCTGATTGGCCGCTTGGACAAAGGTATAAGAATCTGATTGGCTTCTGAAACAAAGATGCAATGATTCAATTTTGCATTTCTTTGATTCTGTTGTGGTTTTCTTAACATTTAGCTAAATGTTTTTGGTCTAGTTACCTTCTTTACGCTGTGACAAGCATTGGCAAACTCCCTCAGAAGAATCAGCACCTGCAGAAGGAATTTGGGTTTGATGACTTGCTCTCCATCCAACATGCCCTGCAATACCTGGGGAAAAAATTTAAAAAACAATAAATAATTAGATCTTGAGCAATTGTTATATTCTGTTTTATTATTGATACATTTTTGGTAAATTTTCCTTTTTAATCATCAATTGCCATGTAAAATTTTGACAGTGGAAGATCTGTTTAACTCTTGTACATATTGCAATTATGCTTCCCAAAAATTATTACACGAAAAAATTAATTCACGAAAACAGTGAGAACGATTTTAACATTTCTGAGCCAACTTAGGGGCCGTTCACAATTATCAACATTTTCACAAGTGTACACAGCGTACACTTTTTCAAGACCCCCCCCCCCTAAAAGTGTACGAAAAAAATGTTGATTTTTTTTCACACAAGTCTATATATACATGTAGACACTTGCATGTGACTTCGTCGAACAGCTTTTCACGGTCTGCATTCCACTGTAGTTAAAAACACGCAGTGGATACGGACTATACACGTACATGTACATACAGTACATTTTCATGTACATGTGTAGGACAATGCCGCACATGCTGTACACAATACGTTCATGGGATGCAATGCGGGGCCTGGCGCGTGGCGCGACCGGCTCGGCAAGTGCTCGATCGGCATCGGTTGCGGCTGTCGGCTGTGGCGACGGGCGAGAAAACAGATCGACATTAAAAAAAAAAACCCGTTAGGCGGGCATTAACGGGCGAGAAAACATATCGACATTTAAAAAAAAAAAAACGTACGGCGGCCATTAACCCCCTCCCCCCCAGCGTACGGTTTGTACGCTCGTGAAAATGTTGATAATTGTGAACGGCCCCTTATAGAAGATTAGGAAAGTGCCAATTTGTGTGTACAAATATCTTTAATCAGTGTGTGAAGATGTTACTGATTGCAATAATTTGAAAATGAAAGTGTGCTGATCAGTTAGCACTGAATTCAATTTCGGCTGAACTAGTTACAATCTACTTTTTTCACCTTTTATCCTTTTAAGTTTTCTAATTTTTATAAGCTGAACAAAGAAATTGACTGGAGCGGAGTTTAAACCTGCCACCTCCGGATTGCCATTCCAGTGCCCTACCAACTGATAAGCCCTATGTTGGCGGTTCCACATTGTGTCCATGTCTGTGTTCAAGGGGCGCTAGTCAGAAGCAGGGAACTGCCGACATGGGGCTGAAAAGCTTAGTTGGTAGAGCACCGGACGCGTAATTTTTTTTCCTAGGAGGGTTAGGGGCAATGTCATGAATAATTCAGTTTTTCCTTTGAATCATTGCAAGACTTAGGTTCTCGTTCTATTTGCCCCTTAATTTAAAATTATCTCAGTGATAAATTTGGAGAAGAAAAATAGCTGATGAAAATGAGCAGCGACGACATGGATTCGAACCAGGGATCTTTGTATCCATAGCTCATCTCGCTATCCACTAGGCTACTGTGTGGTAGCTCGACGACAACCGTTCTTTAAAATGCTTTAATGTATTGTAACTAGTTGAGTAACTAACAACAATGCTGTTGATGTCATTGTCCGTTCTCATGGATAAACATGAATTATTCATGACATTGCCCCTAAGGCCAAAAAAAAAAGTCTCCGGTTTCTGGTATGGAGCTTGTCCCAAAAGTGGCGCGGCGACGCGGCTTTTTTTTTTTTTTTTTACCTTTTTTTTTTTTTTTTTGGGCTTCAAATGTCGGCTGATGACTGCAAATGGTGCCCGACTAAACTTAGTGCAAATATATGGGAGTCCAGAGAGGCCACATAAAGCTTATTCTCGATCATAACCCCATCTAAAAACATGTTAAAATTGTGCAGCAGCAGGATTCCAGTCAAACCAGTGAGTTTGGCGGTTTTGAGACATCATCTTGTATTGAAAAAAAAACTTTTTCATTTTGCCGACGCGCATGGCTACGGCGACGCGCGCGCATACCAGAAACCGGAGACTTTTTTTTTTGGGCCTAACCCTCCTAGGAATAAAAATTACGCGCATCGGACAGGCAATCTGGAGGTCGCAGGTTCAACCCCGCTCCAGTTATAAAAACCATTATAATGCACCTAGTCAGTTTCCCTTTGTGGTTTATGTGAATTTCTTTTTAAAATTCCCTCATTGAAATAAATCCACATCTTACCTCCTGGCCATCCTTCATGAGTTTCTTGCTTGTACTGGTCCACATGCTTGGGTCATCCTGTTTGAAATGAGAAAAAAAAATGAGTTTCACAAATTAGAAATTCACAACTTTCGGGGGGGGGGGGGGGGGGGGGGGAGGTGTTAAACGTCTCTAACTGTACTTACTTGGACCGGTCTGCTGGCCATAAGAAGAGCTAGCAACCTGCAGGCCTGTGTCTGCAATACAATAAAGACAAGAAAAATTAGACAATTCATAAGATGGAATTTGCATAAGAGTGATGTTAATCAAATTAGATTTTGCCCTTCACCGACGTGTAAACACTGTATACTCAATGTGCTACCTCCTGAGTGAAAGTTGGAAAAATTCACTCGGGTGGGACTTGAACCCACGACCCCCTGCTTTCTAGTGCAGATGTCTTACCACTCGACCATCGAGCTCGCCGGATCAGTTGGCTGATTCGAATCTGAATAATTAGGTTCCCAACTGCTGATGGAACATGCCTTCGATTAAATCAAAATATTCTGATTAAAAAAAGAAGGAAGTGTAAATTTGTTGTGGACTTTACCTTTCTGTACAGCTGGCAACCAGTGGTAATGTATTGAACCAGTTCTTCAGCAAAGTGCCAAGCAAGATACTGTTTGACAAGAATTTGGCAATAGAAAGAGAGAAATTATAAGAGAATTTATGTCAAACATGCAGAAATTACGAGCAACATTGCATGATAAATGTAGTTTGGTTATGGTTAGCTTCAACTAAACAACCTCTTTCCCCCCTTTTTTGGACGTCTGCAACCCTCTGAATAAAAAAAAGAAAAGATTTTTGTTTTGGACACAAACAGAAGTGCTTTGCAAGCAGACAGGCTCATGATCCGTACATTGTCGATACTGATTGTGCGGCGGGTACCAGCCTACCCCGTGAGAAGGGAATTATTGTCTGGCAGCCAATAATAGGAAATTCTACCTACAATAATTCAGTATATAAACTATTTTTTTGGGATGAAAGTCGAAACTTACACGGGGAATTAATCTGACAGCCAGATCTAGCTCTATAAAAAAATCAAAGAATCAAAGAATCACAGAATGGAAGGCAGATTGTAATGCTGGGATGCTTTTGTGGTCAATACTTACAGGAAAGCGTTCAATCAATTCGGAGAAAAGCAGAGAGTGGAGATTGGTGCTCCTGTAGAAGATGAGAAATGTGGTGAAATCCGCCAGTAAGTTTCTTGATTGTCAAATTGCATTTTGCTTGTGCAATAGCTCTAGTACTCAAGTAATATTGATTATATGTCTCAAAATTTGAGTTAATTATCAATTTTTTTTTAATTACCAGGTGTTGTAGTACTTGTACTCGTACTCATACTCATACTCATACTTTCATTGGCGTATTGATTTTGGTACTCGTACTCCTGAAAATGTACTTGTACTCGAGACAAAATTACCCGTACTCGTACTCGTATTCTTGCAAATGTTCTTCTGCAAGAATTAAAATTTGTTTAAGAGCTTCATGCAGAAAAAGAACCAGTTTTCTACAGTTTTGGAGGCTTCTGCATTTGTTTAATACCTAGTTTGACAGCAAAAAGCCTTTGAAAACATGCGATACATTGAAATGTGCTACTACCTGTGGAAAGTACTTCTACTCGTACTCGGGTACATTCTTTGGTACTCGTGCTCATGGAACAAAATTGCCTTGTACTTGTTCTCATGACAAAGCACTCACACTGATACTCATGGCAAACTACTCATATTCATACTCTTACTCATGGAAATGTACTTGAATTCAACACTTATGGGTTTTAAGTATAAGTCAGGGGTCAATGAATAGTTTTTGAAGCTTGTCAGTTTCACATAACTTGTCTGAGGACCTTGTTTTAACAGAGATCTCGCAACGAGAGGTATGTCCAGAAATGATTATACACTCATCATTTGGAGGTAATAATCGCTGATAGAATTTGTTATCCTCAGAGGAAGAAGCATTGAAGACTCACCTATGTGTCATGAAGTCTTCTAATGCGCTGCAATACAGCTTGCCTATCCTGTCTGTGTCCAACAAGTTTGACTGTAACACAAAGAAAAACAATCAAAGTAAAAATTGTTATTTCAATCGTGTATCAACTGTTGAACCAATACAATGACAGGGTCTATTTCTTTGGCTCTCAAGAAAGGTTTAAGGAATCAGTGAGTGGAGGTGTTCCATACCTCCGGAACCGTTTCTTGTTGGACAGTTTTCTTCTCCTCGGCTCTTTGATGTCTAGTTTTGACTGGTGATGGCCCAGTCATCTCCACGTTGCCTCGTAACACTCGGATCTGTCGTGACAAAAAGGAGAGCAGGTTAGAAACAAAAACATAGATTTGCTTAAATGTCACTACTTACATAGATCTGTTTCACGGCAGCCATTTTGGAGGCATGTGCTTTTGCTCTGCTGGGATGTGCACAAGTACATGTATACCCTTAGTACATTGGGCGCTATTGAAGTTGGGCCCAAACGTCTCAGTTTAGGGGATACTTAGCCCAGGTTGGACTCTGTTGTGTACGCAATGGAGTCCATATTTTTACCTGATGGAGGAAGCTGAAATTTCGTTTACATATTCCTTGTGTCCACAATTGTGCATGCGCTGGGTTTAGAAAAGGCAAATATGTCCGCGGGTGGCGTGTTTAATGAAAAAAAAACGCAATTCCACGCTTTTGTTGAAAACATTTTTAGTGTGAAGATTACTCGCGCCCGCGTGCATGCACACCTAGCACGCTGCCGCCACGGCAGCAAACGACATGCGCGTGTCTTCACGTACGCGGGGAGTTCGTTCTGAAAATGTTTTCAACGAAAGCATACAACTTGCGGTTTATTTTCGGTAAACATGCGCCCACGGACATATTTGCCTTTTTTAAACCCAGCGCATGCACAATTCTGGACACAAGGAATATTTAAGTGAAAGTTCAGCTTCCTCCGTCAGGTAAAAATATTTTAAAAATGTGTTATAATTGTTTTCGCTATCTATGGTGGTAGAATTTATACCCTGGACATCAGTCGTAATGCAATGAAGACGTCGTCCAACCTGAGCTAGGGGATACTCAGTGACTGAGGGCCCATCTCGTTCATATCCAGGAAGAGTTCTGGACAAGTTGCAGGTAGAATCATTCACTTTGTTCTGAAGAAGCTCTGCATTTGTCCCGGACATGTTCCAGGGAAATTTTCATTAGCAACTGCTTGACTCACCAATACTGATAACTTCATTGCGGGAAGATTGCGGGGAAGTTGTTCAGAATCCTGCAACTTATACCCGATACAATGTCCGAAACTTGTCCTGAACTCGTCCCGGATATGAGTTGAGATGGGCCCTCAGTTGCGGACAATAGATTGGCCCTTCAGATCCAGATAAAAATACTTCCAAGATGGCTGGTATATGCAAAGGGTCTATGATAAATTATTGACAAGCCTTGAGAAAATCCACTTCCCAGTGTTTAACATTGAAAAGAGTGCTGAACTGTGTCCACAGTATAAATTAGACTGTAAATATGGTTTCCATGCCATAAATAAAGTACAATATATCCAGATTTTTTTTAAGAGTTGAATTACCAGAAACAAGCAGCCAGCAGATGAAAGGGACACAGTCATGACAGAAGTTGCTGAAAAAAAGAAACAGACATTGTTATTGGACAAATTATTATTATTTTTTTTACAATAAACGGACAATAAATCTGACAATGACAAGTTATAATTCACTTTCACAAGGGAGAAAATGGCACTCTATCTAGAACACATGAATATATTACGAGGCCTGCCATTGGATAGCTGTTGAATTTTTGAACAATAAGGCCCAATGACATGGACTTTTTTTCTAATATGTCTCAAAACACTGATCCATTATGCAGTTTGACTTTGTTTTCTAGTGATGAAGCTTTTGTAATTTGTTTCTTGTGGACAACAACGAGGAAACTGTTTTGTTAGAGTGAAGTGAACAAGTTTGCAGCTTGAGCAATAAACGTCGTCAACCGCCGTCAACTGAAGGAGGAAACATGTCCAAGCATGATTTACCTTTCTTAGCTATCTGCAAGATTGCCTCAATGGTGTCATGTAGCAACTCTCTCTGATCGGTTAGGTTGTGTGGGTACTGCAAGACGGAATTGAAAAAAACATGTATTTCAAAGCAATGAAAATGAAATAAAAATATTGGAAACAAAAGTTAAAGTAGTCTATGTAATAGACCCTGGCCCTGACGAAACTGACAAATCAGCAGGCGCCTTCTATACGCGCGTAATTCGAGCTCCCCACATTCGTAAACAACACGCCAACGATGAGTAGCATTTTTGTACAGTTTGTTGTATTACAAAAACGTGGTACCGAAATTGACCAATCACAATCTTAGTCCTGATTTCGGAATGAAATGACGTCACGCATGCTTAGATATATCAGACGTTAGACAAGAGACTGGGCTCTGTGGATAACGGGTGATACTCAGACTAGTTTAAAGGGGCACATAATTGAATCATTGTGACTAGATTTGAATTGATGTCCGGATTTCGAGTCATAACAGGTAGGCAGGTAAAAGTCAGTCACGAGCCAATGTGGCCCATCAGGCCGGCGTTTATCTCCAGTTTCAGTAGCATGAAACGACTGAGAATATTTATATTTCCCCTGGATGGGATGCTAGTCCATCGCAGGTTACTCCCCAGCTAATGCCGGTACCCATTTATACTCCTGGGTGGAGAGAGTCAAGTGGGGTGAAGTGGCTTGCCCAAGGACACAACATATGGCCAGCAGCTGGATTGGAACCCCTGACCCTCTGATCATGAGTCACGAACCCTAACCACAAGGCCACACTTATGAGTCGTAACAGGTTGACTACAAAACTGTATGAAAGAAACCAACATCTCAATAAGGGAACAGAAGCCTTGGGTAAAAGCCTCAAATAGACAGCAAAGGTGGATTGTGGAAAGCTTGGTGTTTACCTTTCTAACCCTGCACAGCTTGTTGCGATAGATGCTGACTGCTTTCTCTGATAGGACATGCTGGTCCTTGTGAACGGATGCCGTCTGTGCGACTACCAATAATGGCAGCACCAATTCCTGTGGAACGAGAGGAAACCAAAAGGATTAAACTCTATATACAAGACCTTCTATTATCATACGTCCATTTCTTACTTTAACCCTAACTCCTTGGTTATTTTTGCTAGAAAGTATCCTGAATCCGCCAAAATCCAACAGCAAATACCAACAAACATAGCCAAGGAGTTAAACTGTTGAGATCCTGAATCCATCATAGTCCCCCGATGCATGATATGGAGGAATTCTGAATCCATCAAAATCATAAAGTTCATCTAGGCTTACAATCCTGAATCCATCAAAATCCCACAGTTTGATCAATATAGAGGTATCCTGAATCCACCAAAATACTCTAAAACAGGGGTATGGATTTTGATGGATTCAGAGTGGTTAGGGTTAATAATTATTATTAATTTGTGTAAAAGGTCTTTTAGGGAGACAACTTTTGCTAAAAAATTGTACCTTAGGGAGACCAGGTAGATTAGGGAGACATTGGAATGTCTCCCTAATGTTTCAAGACCTATTTCTAGGCATAATTTTACCTTCGCAAATAGCCTAAATCGATTCCTCGTCATGCAAAACCTAAATTTGGTGAGGGTAGGTTAAGTTTAGGTTAGGGTTAAGGCTCGTTTAAGTTGGGATTTTTTGTGTGCACAAGTTTATGGGAATGTCTCCATAAGGTGCCATTTCCCGTAATAATTATTACTATTCTGTAAAGTTTCATTTGAAAAAATTTCATCTTCTCTTGTTTCAATAGATCTCTCTCAGAGACGGCCATCTCTGTAGGAGAACTGCAACTGCGTATTTTACGTCATCAAGCACGCATTGCGCAGTGTTGAAAATGTTCCAAACACGCCTGCTTGTTGCTCGAAATGTGTTCGAAATACGACACAGCCGATGCGCGTCATGCAAGTTGACGCTCAAAATGCCGATGCACGTGGCTGGTCTGTAGGAAATGACGTCATTTGAGAGACACCTAGTGTGTACATGAAATACTGCAATTTCACCTGTTGGTTACCACACTTCATCACGTTAACATACTTTTGTAGTGAGATTAACCAATAATAATAGTAATATCCACGAGACTCAAATCATTCAGATGGGACATTAAGTAGGCCCATGTACTAGATCAGTGCATGTGAAACAACATCTGAAATCAAGGATGAGTAATGACTGCCTCAGACTTTCTAGCCTATCTAGCATTTTGTATCTAGAAGAAAAGATGTTCTCCAAATGATTGATATTATATAATATTCGATGGCTTTGAGAAGATACAATAATATATTACAACAGCTATAACAAGATCAAAGTTAGAGGAGCACGTACCAGTATTAAAGGATTTGACTGCTGTCTCTTAATGAATATGTCCAACAAATCCAGAACCCTGTGGAAAATAAAAACAAATTGGGAAAAAAAGAATTAAGAAATTAAAAGGATATGCAAAACTTTCCTGAAAATGACAATTTCCTGTAACTTTTTCTTTTAGGTATATTTAGGCTTCTGGACTGCTAGCACCTATGAGAAATCCCTATCTTTTCTAGAGATAATGAACTAATACAGATGATTTTGTTAACCCCAATCCCCTCAGCGCTTTGGCAAGATATAATAGTAATAATAAGAAATTTGGGGGGGGGGGGGGGGGGCTAATCATCCTTACTCGTAGCTGAGAAGCTGAATTGTGAAGGACGCACAACGTGGTCAAGCCGAAGGCATATAAGGTGCCTTAGGCAGCCGCCATACGACCCATGTGTGATGACAACAGAGCACAGCCAGAGATCGAAAGTGTTGAGTTTTGCGGAGGGAGGAAAACCGGAGAGCCCGGAGAAAAACCTCATGGCACAAGAGAGAATCAACCAACAACTCTACTCACATATGACATGAGCCAGGAAGCCAACCTGGGCCACAGTGGTGAGAGCGGAGCACTTTACGAACTAGCCACCCACGCCACCCGTCCAGTATCTACAAATTCCACCATTCTGAACCTTCATCACAACTTGAATCTTCTAAAATCAAACACTAGGGGTGCCAAGTCCCATGTAAATGTGAAACCTTCTAAACATTCTGTTAGAATTTGTAGATACTTGATGAGTTACGTTTCACAAGTTGCAATGGTAGGCACCAGTAATTTGAACAATTAACTATTTGGATAAGGCCCCCCCAAAAAATAGTTCTGCTTCCGGTTTCCGTACCTACCCTATTCTGACAGCCCCTACCCTAATTTTTTTATAGGAAAAATGAGAAAAAAACACCCAAAACCATCACTTTATACCTTTTACCCTTGACTACACGCAGACGCCTTCATATGATCGTACACAAAAAAATTGGCAAAAAAAAAACTACCTACCCTATTTTCAAATGCCATATAATCAGAAGCAGAACTATTTTTTTTGTTGGCCTAAGGAAAATTGGACTTCCACACACACAAAAAACCTACCTGAGTTTGAAATGCAGTAGTACGGTGTTGGTCTCCTTCTTGCCTTTCCTGCGGTCGGCCATCTTGGCTTTGAAGAGACCGGAGAGTGCTGTGTCCAGCCTCATCATGGTGGCGTCGTCAAAGTCACTGGCGACGTCATCACTATCATCCTAAATGAAGGGTTGGGTGGGTGGGGGGGGGGGGGGTTACAATAGTCAGAGAAATCTTCCAGAGGAGAAAACTTTAGAGTGTACCAAACCGAGGAGGGTTATTAACAAAATTCAATAAAATTTCTGACGTAGATTGAAATGACAATCATAAATACATGAGACAGTTTACCTATTCCTATTGGTCGAGAGCCCGGCACGTGGCCAGTTTTAAACGGTTGACATGGTTGGCTGGTCTTAAACACATTTCTAGTGTCACATGAAATATGTCTCATGAAATCTGGGGCCTTGTACCATTTTATTGGTTGAACGTTCTGTACCGTTTTATTGGTTGAACGTTCCCAATCCTCATATAGGTAGTGTAATACTACCAGTTGTCTCAGTATTTCACAGTCCTAAATTCACAATACACCGGCACAGCTGCATTCTGCGGCACATCGCGCAGTACGTGCGACGCGCCTGCCAATCTCCAAATAAAAAGTTGTTTACGACTTCTTCGTGAGTCAGGGACATACCATAATATAGCTAGAGGGGTGTTTCAAAAAACAAGAAGTAAAATTGTTGAACAAAATCGTCAGAAATTAATTTTTTTTGACTTGTTTTGACTATTGGAACGAAAAGGAAAACAACTAAAACATTGCATATTCCCCTCGCAAGCCCTCAGCTACACATGCCTTTTAGTTACACAATGTGGAAATAGCGCACTATACAATATACAGGGTGAGTAAAAAAAAACAGAACCAAAACTCACAAAAATATATTTCATATTTAAAAAAATATGCAGGACCAAAAATAATAATGACTGGAAAGCCAATTTCATAAGCTATTTTTAGATGGAAAAATTACTGAAATTGCTCAATCCCTAAAACCTCTTTCATCCAAGAATGCGATTTCAAGAATCGTCTTCACAAGTGTCTTCAAACATCACCAGCGATAAAACCTCAGTTTAAAAGTTAAACATATATATTTGGTTATCTTACCTCATCAGCTGCGGCCTCACCCAGTGCTGTCTTGACGTCGTTTCGGAAGAACTCGTCAATGTCATCATTGTCTTCATCGTCACTGTCCTCACTATTCTCGGATTCGCTGTCTGAACCGTTACCTGACAACTTCTGTTGCAGAGAACAAAACAAAATTAGACTGTTCATTTAAGATTCTGCCAGTTGTTAAGAAAGCAATAAGATTGGCATCACTTTTGTAAATCAAATCTCTAGGTTAAAAAAAATAAAAATAAATTAATATGTTTGAACAAAGTTTACGCCTGGTTAAATGTTGTACAAAAGTGATGAAAATATATTAAGAGTTTATTTTCAAACACGATATATCCATTTGAAAAAGGTGAAAAGTTTGCAAGGTAATGAAACTTTGAAGAATAAAAACGATATAACAGTTGTTTCTGAAGTCCATTTTTCGTTTTATGGTATTCTTAAATTGTGTTTACATAACAGCTGTCGAAACTGACTTTGGGCAGCCAGGAGAGGGCAGGATTCTGTTAGTTAACAAAATGGCGTTTATTGTGACTTGGAAATAAACTCTTCTTATGGCATCGTGTCATGTTGTTACATCAATTATATGGAGCTGAAAAGCTCTTACAACAGAGCACAATATGTCTGCTTTAGGATTGGGTTCTCTGAATTGTGAACGTTAATAGGCACAAAGGAAACAAGATTTGGAGGGGGAGGGAGAGGGGGGGGGGGGAGAAGGGGGGGGGGGGGAGTGGGGGGGGAGGGCTCAAAGGAGAAACAGTTTGAGTTTATGACCCCACGAACATGTCGCAGCACAAGACTTTGGAACTTTAATAGTGAATGAATGTGACAACACATCAAAGTGATTAAAAACCTGGAAAGTTTGGTTGACGGGAACTAGTGATGGAAGGCCATGGGAACACATCCCATGATGATATCCATAACAAGTCTTGCATGAAGCCTCAGGTAAGATGCCAGGCATAGCCTTGAAACTGGCCTCTGTTTGTTTACCTTCTTTGTGTGGTTTCCGTGACCATTTGACACAGGTTTCTTCTTGCTGGCTGGACTTGGTTCTCCTTCTTCCTCTTCATCATCGTGATTATCATCTTCATCATCATCATCTTCACTGTCATCATCATCATCATCATCGTCTTCTGGCATTTCTGCATCTTCTCCATCCTCATCATCTATTGAAAAAAATCCATAATAGTTTTATTATACAAACTATGAGTGCGTTCGATTAGCTCACCCGGGTCAACTCGGGTTAGCGAATCTGCTCAAATATCTAAATGGGTTTGGACGAATAATTCAATGACACTTGATCAATGATCGGATTATGGAGATTTATTCAGGTGTTGTATAAGGCCAAAAAAAAAAGTCTCCGGTTTCTGGTATGCGCGCACGTCGCCATAGCCATGCGCGTCGGCAAAATGAAATTTTTTTTTTTCAATACAAGATGATGTCTCAAAACCGCCAAACTCACTGGTTTGACTGGAATCCTGCTGCTGCACAATTTTAACGTGTTTTGAGATGGGGTTATGATCGAGAATAAGCTTTATGTGGCCTCTCTGGACTCCCATATATTTGCACTAAGTTTAGTCAGGCAACATTTGCAGTCATCAGCCGACATTTGAAGCCGGAAAAAAAAAAAAAACAGGTAAAAAAAAAAAAAGCCGCGTCGCCGCACCACTCTTGGGGCAAGCTCCATACCAGAAACCGGAGACTTTTTTTTGGCCTAATAAATGCTTAATCACTGGCCATTTCTTTTGCTGGGAAACATCCTTGATGTTGTTTTCCTGTGCAGTAGAACAGTTCTTTATAGATTCTTGACCCTTGAGGGGAGTCAGGTTGGAGTGGGGAGTCAGGTTGGTGTAGCGGTACTTTCCTTGCCTTCCACCGCTGTGACCCGGGTTCGAATCCCGCCTGGGCCAATATGTGGATTGGGTTTTCAGTCCCTGCCTGATTCCGTGGGTTTTCCCCAGAATATTCTTCTGGGTTTTTCCTCCCACCTCTAAAACTGTACTTTCTTCACATTGTCTTCTCTTTACTGGGACCCATGGGAGATCAGTGGATTCCACTGAATGGGCTACCCAGTTAAAATAAGGAAAAAAAAAAAAAAATTCTTTGGATTTGGGAAAAAAATCAATGGCTTGGTTTTCAAGACTGAAAAGGAAGTGTTCTTATTAACCAATAAGCACCTTATTACATTATATTACAGTGTAGTTACTCTCTGAAGAATCTATGAAAGCACAGAGACCTCGGGCAATTTCAGGCAGTACAAAGAGTAGAAGGCATGCAGGGCTCTTTCGGGCGGTACATGGACCGATGAATGCCAGACTTTTAATGTGATTCACAGATACTTATTTAAATGGAAGGATTGAACAACTCTGAACTTACCTGATTCTGTGATCTCCATGTTCCCATCCTCCACACTTTGGGTAGGGTCAAGAATCTATAAAGAAACAATAATTCACTTCGTCAGAAAGAAACAAAAGTGCAATGAATAGAAGCAGATATCATTTCGAAACTAATAAACACAGTATTTGTTTGCGGGGGAAAAGGGGCATAATGTATTAACATTCTAGGCTCGTCTGAATCATGATGGGAAAATCTTGCAAGAATTTCCAGTCATAATGTTTAATAAAGCTTCATCCTTTTTTTCTGTCCTACTGCATACTCTGTGCAGGGACTTTGCAGGGAGGACTTCCGAACAGGTAGCTGACATTGCATCGGGTATAAGTTGCAGGATGCTGAACAACTTCCCCGCAATCTTCCCGCAATGAAGTTATCAGTATTGGTGAGTCAAGCAGTTGCTAAATGAAAATTTCCCCGGAACATGTCCGTGACAAATACAGAGCTTCTTCTGGACAAAGTGAATGATTCTACCCGCAACTTGTCCTCAACAGGTCCTCAATTTGCGCATAATTTCTGCTTCTGGGTAATGGTACCTGTTTTCAAGATCCAAATTTAACGAAAAATGCAAGGAATTTGGGCTAAAAAACTTACATCTAGAAGAAGTTGCAGTGCCTCTTTGGTCATGTGAGGACAGATCATCTTGAAGACGCCGTCGACCACTGTCCGCAAGAGATGCGATGGTTTAGACAAGAGACTGAGTAAGATCTCTGTGACTACCTCCACCCACTCTGGCTCTGCAAGAAGCAAAGAAAACAATGATTGTACAGTGGAACGTGGCTATACCGAACATTCGGCTATACCGAACATTATCTTTAGCTCCCGGTTTTAATGTACCAAATGTACCGTACATCGTTGTTGAAAAAAGTCAACAGATTAACAAAAAAACCTACTGGTCGTACATGTATTAAACACTGTTTGGACCACTTTTAATTCCCGAACATCAAACGACCCATGGATTCATTGTGTTTGAATGTTGAAGAGCGATAGATGGCTATTATTTCCCCAAGGAATAAAAGGGAAAACCACCCGTTGCTAAAGTTTTGTGACAACTCCACGTGCGGTGGCGGGATGTGAGAAATGCCAGTTCAGTGACTTCACTATTTTTCAAAAGAGGGTACTGGCGGTTCAAAATCGCTATACCAAATGATCGTTATAATGAACACTTTCTGTGGATCCCACGATGTTCATAATAGAAGCGTTCCACTGTATTTGTGTGGCTCTGACAACACCCAAAGGTTACTGGCTCATTGCCAACTAGTTCACATTTTTTTCTGTATTGGAACTACAATCCCGGCCAAAATAGTTGGGACACATGACAACAACCATACCGTCCCCCGGTCCCCCTCTCCCCCGGTCAATGTTGTTATCTCCAGCCTGGACCACAGACCGTGCAATGAGAGACAACATTGACCGGGGGCAAGGGGAGGATGGCCCAGCGAGATTTGGCCAACATTGTAGCTATGACTGTTTCTACGTAGGACAGAGTCAAAACCATGCTTTGAGTTCTGACTTGCTTGGTTGGAAAGGAGAAATATTTGCACTTATGAGTTTTGCTAATGTGCTGACAATTTGGTGCAAAGCAGCCATTCTTGTTTAGTCAAGTGTAGTAGTAGAGGCCATCACAAGTTCAGTCACAAGTAACAGGGGAACAATAACAATTGTTTACACAGTTCTTTTGAATAGCTCATGCTATTGGTGTGGATGACGTGTGATTGACTTGTGATGGACTAACTACAACACCGGTCTTGTCCTTGTTTTTGACTTCGAACAGTAGAATTTTTATCATCAAATGTTGGGTATTTTGTGTTAATATGTGTAAAATGCAGTAGTGTTGCGCAGGCCTACACCTCATTATTTGTTAGGCAAATTAGGACCGAGTTATGGGGACTTTCTGCTGTCCCAACAGCGTTTTCGGTCCCCACAAATACCTTGCACAGACGAGTTTATGTCCCCACAACTACGGAACAAGAACGTGTGCAGTTTCAAGGAGTGCTAGTGAATTCATTGCTTGTGACCACAAACTGATTTCACAGTTAGATTCTCTTGTTACCTTCTTCTGTCTTTTTCTTGAGGGACTTTCTCCTGCTCAGAGCTCTCTCATAACATCCGTGGAGATCCTGAATAATATCACACAACCAACAAGGACGTCAATTCCAGTCAAGATTTATGAAACTCTGCTGCTTAAAATTTCGGAATTTAAGAAACGGTGAACATGATCTTGAATCTTGTTTTGCCCTTTATTCAACAGAATAACTTGACGGGCTAGCACGGCATGGCCAGAGTATGTGGTCAATCGTTGATCGATTATGACCTTAGGGCATGCTAGCATCGCGTCGCGCTGTGTGTGTAATAATAATAATAATAATAACACGATTTATAGCGCGCATTTTCGCAAGTAACAATGCGCGACTAAGGACAACTCCAGAAGACAATTTACAGATTATGTGGAGAAAACAGATCAGTTTTCAGTCTGCCCTTAAAGTTGTCAAGAGAACTGATGTTGCGGATGTTGTGTGACAAGGAGTTCTAGCATCGGGGACCAGACACTGAGAAGGCCCTGTCCCCTGCCTTTTTGAATGTGCGTGGAACTCTAAGGTTGTTACTGGAGCGGAGGCCACTACGGCTGGGTGCATTAAGGTTGAGTGATCCCATTATGTACTGCGGCATTGTGTTATGAAGTGCTTTGTGCATGAAAACTGCTGTTTTGAAGTTGATGCGATGTCTAACTGGTAACCAATGTAATTGTTGAAGGAGTGGAGAGGCATGTGTGTATTTGGGTTGAGATAATGTGATACGAGCGGCATTGTTTTGAAGCCGTTGGAGTCGATCAACCTCATACTGATTAATACCATTGAGAAGAGAGTTGCAATAATCGAGTCTGGATAGTACAAGTGCTCGGACAGCGGCGTGGCATGTGTTTGTGTCTATGTATTAACGAATCTTGGATATGTTCCTGTTGTGGTAGTTGATAGATTTGTGTATTGTGTATTGTGTACATATGTACAATTGTGCAAATGGCAGTTTGTACAGTTACTACTGGGTGTGCGAGCTTCTGTCCACGAAAGGAATGAGGTATGTCCCAATGTTGGTGGCTCAGCTAGGCAAGCCTTGTAAATGCCTTTTTCAAAATATTCCATCCTTTGGTGGTACTTGGTTTGGTCTGACCTGTAGTATATCCACAGCCTGTTGCGTCTCGCTAAACATCTGCAGTCCAACATGAAGGAAGAGCAGCTGGAATGCAGGGCTGGCTGACTGGGTCTTGTTGCCTGGCTTGGACTTCTTGCGTAGCTTCTCCACAACAGACAGCATCTCATTCCATGCTGCTTGGGCCTGGTGGGAAAAAAACAAGACGATAACAAACCCCTCTACTCTAGTCGGAAAAATGAAAAAAGTCATCTCAGCAGTCAAAATCAATCAAGCGACTGTTTGTAACTGTTAGGTTATCTATGCCTACATGAAAGCACTATTGACTGGCTGTGGATGTTTAAAGATATAGTCCATCATTTGTAATTTGTGCATTTTGTTCGTTTGAAGCAACAAAAGTGTTCAAAATCTAATGAAGGATACTGAACAACTAACCTGATGAAGTTTCAGCTAAGCTTCAGTTGTATATTCCGAGAAAAACAGCATTCTAGGATCTCAATTTCAAATCAAAAGTTGCTGAATCATGTTTTGAATTGGGCCTGAATTCAGCGTCCGAGACACATTCTCACTGAGCCGGTTGCAGCTATACGCGATGTCGCGCACTGATCCGACAAATTATAGCAACCGCACGCGCATGTGCGTCGTGCCAATGCTTGCGCACGCTTTGCCGAATAACAAAACATACTACTAATTTAAATTTTCCAACGGTGCGTCTAAAGATGCACCGTTGGAAAGGCCTTCAATCGTCGATTACTTCAAAATGACAGCTTGCCAGAAAGAATAATTTCACAGGGAGTTTAGTCCACTTACTATCTTTCAACCAAGTATGTTTTTCAACAATAATTACGCCAGTAATTTTTCGGATGGCTGCAAATGATGGACTATAGCTTTAACTTGATACAGCCATGCTTTGAGTGACGGTGATTGGTAAGCCAGCTGTACCTACCAGTCACCTGCTTTTGTCTGTTGATGGAATTTGACTAGTCACATTGTTAACAAAGACCATGATCTGACTGGCATGGAAGGGAAAATGCACTGAATACTTTATTGTCTGTAACAGGAGGAGCGTTATGAAGTAAACAAGCCAAGTATGTGATTGTAATTTCCTGTTCAAAGAAAGAAAACAGTCCTTACTCATAATGACAAATATAATTACGTCATACTTTTTTTAAAAAAAGATTCCAGACAGACTATTAAAAAGCCACAGAATCTTTCTTTCTTGCTTGTGAACAAGTGATTGCAATGTAAAAGGCCTATTAAAAATTTCTTTAAAATACTTGTCAAGATGATGAATATATTACTTACTCCCTGACAAACCAAATTGTTACTCTTTTAACTGAAGCAGAATGAAATTACTCCAAGAATTTGTCACTAATATTTACGGTAGTAAGCTACTTAAATTCAAGACCCCTTCAGGCAATATCTGTCCATGTCTGAAATATATGAATACAATGCATTTTTTAATATGGCAAGAAAATTAAACCAAGTACAGCTATTTTAATCAACTTCTATCAAAAGAAAAGATGACTTAAAATACCTCATCTTGAAAGGTGACACAGCAGTCGACATTTGGAGAGTTTAGGAGCTCCTGTTGAAAAGAGAAGAAATTGTAAATTCCTTTAACCAATTCACGTCGGAGGACATGTTAACACCCACTGGCTGTTTTTATAAACAGGCACAGCTGACGGGTTAAAACATCAAGATTGCCTCAACTCGCCTCCGGGTGACGTCTAAACATGCTAATCCCTTGTGTCTTTTGTACACACACAGAAAGTCTGTGAAGTCTGTGGAGGCGGACCATGTGTTGATCTTGAACTGGCCGTTATGCACGGCCTATTGTTTTACAATTTCTGCTTCAGTGCACACCACGGAGTATTGAAACATGTGAGGTTTCGGCAAGAAATATCGTACAAATACTGTTGAAATGACTCTTGCAAATCAGCATTTGTGGCGTTTGGCTGTATATCAGAAGTTGGCTGGAAAATTTTGCCTTTGTGAAAATCGACATTTTCGGCCAAAATAATCCCGGTGCGAAGTGGTTAAAAAGGGGACAGAGGTTTTAAGAGCTCAGTGAATAGGCTTGAATATGTATTAATCAAATCTTAGACATCCATCATCTAGAATGGTGAAGGAGATTACAGACTAGGAATTTTTTGATCATTTCTCTGAATCATTAATTAGATATCGTGGTTAATTGGCTCCGTCACGGACATGAAACTTCCTTTCATAACGCTGGAACTGCACTGGATAGTTTATTGTAACAATAATTGGGATCTAAAAATTTAGGAGCTAAAATAGACGTGGGACAGAAAAGTGCCTTCTAGAAAGTGATCCGTGGATCGCATTTGTCAACTTTGTCTGTGGTCGATTCCAATATATTTTGTGTTCTTAAAAAGTCAAATTTGGTGCATTTTTAAACGACATCAAATGACCCCTTGGTGACCTCCAATTTTGGAGGAGTTGTGATGAACCCCACCCAAGGATCACTCCATCCAAGTTACATTGTAATCCATCAAATTTTATGGACACAGAAACATTTGAAGCATATTTGAACAATGACCTCTAATGACCCCTACATGACCTTTGACCTCAGTAATCTGATGAAGAATTGTGTCTTCCAACCCAAGGGTCACTGCATCCAAGTTTCATCAAAATCCATGAAAGCTTGGAGAAGTTATATATTTTTTTTCAAAAACTTAACCGAAACTTAAACATACATGTACGGGACATACAGAATTTAGGACTAGTTAGTGTCTCACAAAAGCTCGTTTAGGCAACACAAATATACATAGGGTTAGCCTGCCTACCTGTGCATATTTCACAATGACGTAGACCCACAGTTCCCCAGGGTCTGCGCTGGTATCCTCCTCCTTCACTGGTGCCCTGGTGGACAGGTTACACACAACACCGAGGGCACTGTAGAAATGCTGGGCAATCTGTTGCCGTAGCGACTCGCTGACCGGTACCTTGAGCACAGTGCCGCACTGTGTGAAATGAATACAAATTACATTTTGTTTCATCTGAATTTCAATTCCTGAATCTAAATGCACCATTTCCACAGGGTGAGTAAAAAAACCCAGAAATCCAAATGTCGGGACCATTGTTTTAGTGACGTTCTGCATGTAGCACTTTCAAAATCTAGGATACGAAAGCCCAATTCATAAGCTTTCTTTTAGTACAAGAAATATTCAAATCATTCATGTAATTTTCAAGTTGCTGAATTATAAACACAACCACCGTTGTAAAGTTCTGTCCACGGATCACAAAAAGGTAACTGTTCTTTGTAGCAAAACCAAAAAAAATCACATAGGGATATGTGTGAATTGTTTTCATTTTGCTGAAAGAACACACACCTTTTTTGTGATCCGTGGACAGAACTTTAAAACGGTGGTTGTGTTTACAATTCTGTAACTTGAAAATTACATGGTTGATTTGACTGATTCTTGTACTAAAAGAAAGCTTATAAATTGATCTTTTATATCCCAGATTTGAAAGTGCTACATGCTAGAACAACAGTCACGACATTTGGGTTTCGTTTTTTTTTTTAATCGCCCTGTTTTGACGAATCACGTCATCCATTCTAAAGGCCCTCATCAATGGTGAAGGATTGTGCTAGCTATTGTTCAGATAATCTGACAAGTCCAGTCACAAGTTGAGTTCCAAGTAACAGTGGATGAACAAAAACAAAGGAATGCCTTTGTCAAAGCTCATTTGAATAGCTTGTGAGTTGAATTGGGACTGGAGGACTTGTGATGGACTTGCAGGGACTTGTGATGGACTGGACTACATCCCTGGTACTCAGGCCCGTCACCAGCCCTGAGCATCAGGGGGCCATAGTACCAACTAGGGGGGCCACTACCATAAAAAATTCAAAAATACATATGTATGGCTTTTGCTGTTAGGGGGGCCAATTGCACCACCAGGCACCCCTTGGCGATGAGCCTGCTGGTCCTAACTCAAGAACTTACATTAGGAAGGGCTTTGCTTCTAGTCTTCACTCTGAAGAATGCATGAAGGAAGAGAAACTGAAAGCAATCACTCAGCCAGTCTGTCTCCTTCTGTAGACGAGGATTCCGGACTAAGGACAGCACCTGGGGACAGAACAAAAATCTTATATTTATTGTGAATAATCGAATAACTAAATTATTTGAAAAAATGCACAGCCCTAACCAATTTCTGCCTCATTTTTGGAGTGGTCTTCTCCTTCATTCATTCATTTTCATGATGACTTGATGAGTTGGGCCCAACTGTCCCTGTCGATCATAGTGCTGGAAAGAGATGGACCACTCAGACCAGTTTCTAGCTCGATGGATGTTTTCAGGGTCATGTTGGGACGACATTTTCGTCGAGGGGCTTCAGGATTCCAGAGGAGAACTTGACTAGCTGGAGTGGTGGGTCAAATAAAATGTCTTTGCAAGCCCCTACCTGTATCGTAACCCATTGTCTCCCACTGTCAATATCTGGTGTTTCGTTGCTTCTACAATGGAGAAAAAACAAAACTTGGTCTCAATTAATTATATATCGGATGGCTTTGAGGGGGATACAAGAATTTATTCCACGAGCTATAACAATATTGCGCGAGTCAAAAGACAAGTGCAATATTGTTACAGTGAGTGTAATATATTCTTGTATCCTTCGAAAAAAAAGTCATCCAATATTATTATTATTGTTATTTATATCAGGCTGACCTGATCCCAAAGAACTAAATTTCATGACTCCGTCTTGCAACAGCTATACTTTGACATTAGGGGATTGATAAGCCAGCTGTGCCTACCAGTCACCTGCTTTTGTCTGTTGATGGAATTTGACTGGTCACGTTGCCTATTGAAATATCATCTCACTGTTGGTGACTAGCCTGCGTATAAAAGCATGGCAAGGGAAGTGTAATGATTTTTTGACTGTCTGTGGCTGATCAAACAAAAGGAGGGTTAAGCAAGATTCAACGGATTACTGTCCGAACTAAACTTACCCGGTGTTGACTGAACCGGACACAAACAGTCCTTTCAACCAGTTCAGGTAGAGCCTAACTGCTTCTGGATTGAACTGAAGAAAACAAACGACAGAAAAAAAAACTTGAGTGGATTCTTAATGTATTCATATTCAATTGCAAGTCTAAAGACAAAAACAAATTATCTTGGGGCAAGAACTATTATCAGAGTAAATAACTAAAATGTGGATCATATGGAAATGTTTCATCTAGGAATGTTGCCGACAACCCAGACTAACACAGACTTTGTTATCAAAGTCGTTCCAGGCTCAACGCTGCCAATGATATAAATATGTACAACGATATCCCACTCACTTGAGTACCATGATATCGGCCCATTTTCTCCTCTTGATGAGCATAAAACCATAAAATGCTGCAAGTTAAACTTGCCCGATCCCTCTGGCACGCTGGCAGTATTTATACAGTGTTAATAAGCACATTTAAGTTTACCTAACCAAAATCAATAATGACCTCATTTGACCCCTAGATGACCTTTGACCTCAAATGTCTCAAGTCATATGAAGTCCCCCTACCCAAAGATTACTGTCACCAAGTTTGGTTGAGATTGAAGTCTGACATCTCATATGACAGCACTAAACAGTTAACATTACCAAAATGGAACACACATACACACAGGAGTACACTATCGCAATATCCCCCTTTCTGGCTTAAAAGCCAGGGGGACAAAAATTGTTAATGAAATCTCACATTCCTCACTTTCATTTTTCACTTACATTACTAATGATTGAGTAAACTGTCCTGCTTTTGGTGATTTCATCAAAGTTGAAGTGTCCGGGACTGAGTAGCAGGCACTGTACCACTGACAGCTGGGTGTTAGGGTCTGACATGCTCTTGACAAGGCTGGCTAGCGAGCCACTCTGCGGAGGTCAAATGTCAAAAATAATTGAGACAATTTATGCGTTGACAAATGACAATTTAAACAATTAATTTTATCCAGTGCATAAGAATCCCCAAAACAGCCAAAGAGAGTGGGTAATATCAAAGGTAATGTACAACATAAATTTTGCAAACATTAAAAAACGATAACTACCAAAATTATTATGAAATACCTAACTTGACTAATAGCCTAAAGCATCCTGTGAAATCACTGCGCCTGGTGTACTGAAATTTTCAAGAAAAGTGGAATTTTGTGTCATTTTCCAACGAGGCTGAACCATCGTTTTAAAAATTTCAAAACAAAAGTTGCTGAATCATGTTTTGAATAAGCCATTTGCGTGTTAAATTTGAATAAAATCTGGAACGCTGACTTAATACAATGCTTTGCACGTTTTAACCTAGCATTCTCCCGACCAAAGAGACTGTTACTATATCACATGATTCGGGGCAAGCCTTATGCTAGCAACCCCCAGCTCCGGCATGGTCTGGTGTCTTTGTGCCATTCTCACCCATTGTGAACGATGTATTGGTGCTGAGCGTCTCTTACGTAACTCTGCAAGAGCTTGCCCCGAATCATGTGATTAGCAACAGTGTCTTTGGTCTGGAGAATTCACAGTTAAAATGTGCCAAGCATTCTGAGCAAGTCATTGTACCAGACGTTTTTCAAATGTAAATCCCAAAGGGTATAGGTTACACGCAAATGGCTTATTGGGCCTGAACTAGCGTCCGAGACCCGTTCTCACTGAGCCGATTGTAGCTACGCGATGTCGTGCACTGATCCGACCAATAATAGCAACTACGCGCGCGTGTGCGTCGTGTCAACGCTTGTGCGTACTTTGCCGATAAAAAATAATGAACTTCTAATGGAAACTTCCAACGATGCGTCTTTAGAATAATTTCACAGGGAGTTTAGTTCCCTTACTATCTTTCAACCATGTATCTTTTTTGAACAATAATGGATAGCTGCAAATGATGAACTGTAGCTTTTAAGTCCAAAGATAAGAAATTTCAGGTGTGTAAAATTAACAAAAATCTACCAAAAACATGTGTGCAGAGCCACACTATGAACGTCTGATATATCCGCACATGTAAATTTTATGTGACCTTGTGTGCCAGCCAATCAGAGCTGCTTTTAGAAGTTGTGACATCATTTAGAGCAGAAATTGGGCCAAAGCTGTTGATTGGTCAATAGCTGCCATGTTTTTTTCTCATACAACATCATGTTACTGAAGACCCTAATAGAAGGCCCCCGCTGAATGGTCAGAATCTGGAGGTCAAAACACAGTGCTGTTTTGCATAATCTGCTCGGATATTATAGACGCTTGCTTGACAAGAGTCTATTCCAAAGACTACCAAAACATATCAAAATAGAATTGCAAACGACAAGAGTTTCAGGTTAGCATGACTCAAATAAATCTCTCCAAACTCTTGACACTTTGGAACTGACCAATTTGTTGGCGGCTGCATAGAGCCCAGCCTGTCGGTTAGCCAGACTGCTTATGAAGCTTCTGAGGAGGTTCTTGGATAAGACCGTACGTATCTCTGCCGTGGTGCATGCTGGGAGGACGGTCTCCAACAAGCAGAAGGCAAGGAAGATGCACTCGTCCTGTGAGCTGGTACAAAGGTGACCTGTGGGTAGCCGGATTGGACAACATGCATGTATGAATAGCAACAGACACATTGTCTGATCTGAGACCGAGGGGTGGAGTGGTGGGGTAGGTGGGGGGAGGTAGGTTGGGGGAGGGTAAGTGGGGGTGATAGGTGGTGGGAGTTTTGATCAACCCCCAAAGTGGAACTTTTTCATCTCAACATAAACACACACTGTATCCGGTTAAGTTTTTTGTATGCTTATCACATGGAAGGTTGTTTGGTGTGCACAAAGGGGTTTGTACTAACAATTTCAACACTTCATCAGTTCACACATACTGGAATTTGTATTCTTGTGGAGTCATTTCTTTATTGTCTTGTACTAAAATTTTAGAGTTTGAAAGTGTAGTTTCAAAATGCTCATATTTTTTACCAGAATTAATTTCCTGAGGTGAAATTCGGACTTAATATCCCTTACATAAAACACTTTCAACAAGCAGAAGGCAAGGAAGATGAGTGATTTTTTCCAACTTTCACTGAGTATACAGTGTTTATTCGTTGGTGAAGGGCAAAAAACCTAATTTGATTTATATCACCCCGATGCAAAATTCCATCTTATAATAGTTTATGCGGTACCCGCTGCTATGTACATCAGATTCGAACCAGCCAACCGATCCCGTGAGCTCGGTGGTCAAGTGGTAAGACATCTGCACTAAAAAGCAGGAGGTCGTGGGTTCGAGTCCCACCTGCGTGATTTTTTTCCAACTTTCATTCGGGAGGAAACACACTGAGTATACAGTGTTTATTCATCGGTGAAGGGCAAAACCTAATTTGATAAAACACTTCCATTTGCGACGGATCAACACACCTTGGAAATGCCTAGTTTTTTAGTAAAATCCATGTATCTATTTCATGATAACCTTGTGGAGACGCATTCATCTATAGAAATTGCCCTGTGGAGACATATACAATTTTTTTGTTCCCTATTATACCCATGTCTCCACAGGGTATCGTGTAACAGATCTTCATTGTTTTACATGTGGTATCACACAAAACATAAATGAATTGGAAGATTCAAACGTCAATTGCACACATTTAAAAAACTGCAGAGTCTTTGTCATCAAGTGCAAAATGAATACAGTTGGCGATGTCTACAAATGAAGTCAGCATTTTCTCGGGTAAACAATGGGTAAAGCAAGATTAAAAAAAAAACTTACCATCTACGACCTTTTCCCAGAATACGGGAAATTTCTCTCTTTTGTCCAACACCCAGGACAGGAGGATGTCACATACAGCATGGGGATTGGGGTGGGAGGTGGACGTGGAGCTCTGATGGGCAAACAAGGAGAGAACACACATTTTAAATGACGGATCCGTTGTCTGCTCATGATACACAAGGCAGATTTTTAACAAAGCTTTTAAAGATGTTCATTTTGCAGACTGGAAATAAAGAAACAAAAGTTCTGCACAAGTAAAAATCAAGTCAACAAAATCAAATCAACAAAATCAATTCAACAAAATCAAATCAACAAAATCAAATCAACAAAATCAAATCAACAAAATCAAATCAACAAAATCAAATCAACAAAATCAAATCAACAAAATCAAATCAACAAAATCTAATCAACAAAATCAAATTAACAAAATCAAATTAACAAAATCAAATCACCAAAATCAAATAAACAAAATCAAATCATCAAAATCAACACAGTGCTGGAATGTAACCTTCGCAGCAAAACATGTTACTGTGCACTATTGGAATAATTTAATTTCTATGTTTGAGTACTCCCCATTTGATACAATACCCATTTGATACAATTGACCTTTCGCGGTAGAATCGCGTCAACACAGCTTGTGAAATATTGTCCAATTTTTATACATGATATACAAATGACGCGGTACGCGCAAAATCTGAGACAAACAAAAGTTAACGTACAAAATTCCATAGGGTTGTCTAAGGGGCGTGGCTAACTCGTAAACGGCAATAGGTCAATACCGCACCACACTCAGGTTTTTTCACAAACAATGTAAGCATTTGAATACCCCATGGACTCCGTGCACAAGTACCCCCTCGATGGTTACAAAGGGAGAGTTGGGAGAGACCACTGGCAGGGACATTCAAACGCATTGCCAATGACGCCTGATGCTCACACGAAGACGCTACATGGCTTTGTGCATCGTTATTGTAATGACAAGACAGGTTCGAGTCAAGCCTGGAGTACATGTATACTACAAGTCTGTCAGCTTCAAGTACTTACCGCTATGATTCTGGCTATGTGGGGCAGGTTGCTTGCATCCAGCAGATCTGGACGGTCCCAATGCTTCTGCATGAACTTCTTATCGACAATACTCTAAGGAGACAAACATACATTGGTTTCCTTCTTATGCTAGTGTTCATGTTAGTTCAGTTTTGGGATTCAGTATGGGTCGGCAGTCTCCCTAAGGGTTCTAAGGGTCAGCATTCTCCCTCAAAACACAGCTGAGTAACTATGTCTTCATTTTTTGCACTCGGTTTCTTCATATTCTCAGGGGCTTTTACCCATATTTTTGTGAGATGACTGCTCATCTCAGTAAAACATGGCATTGGCACTACCCTTTTTTTTGCCTGTTCAACGTTTTCCCCCGTTTCATTCAGCCTCTAACCTTAAACAGCTTCTAAACTTGTCAAGGACAACCTCCATTCAAAAAAAAAGCGTGGAAACAACAAATGAGTTGACTTACAGGGAAGCTGCGTTTACAGACAGCCAGCAAGGCCAGCGTGTGGGGACTACAGGACCCCCAGCCCTGTCGTAACTCTTGCTGTAACGTCGGCCAGATGTCCTCCTCAAAAGCTTCCAGTTTACTCTGAGTGACCAAGCAATGGTTCAGTGCAATATGAGTAAAACATGATGGGTGAGAGATTCACAACGCTCTGATCCAGTTTTGTTGTGCCACTTACAAAAGCTCACAATTTTCTCTTCAACAAACTACATCTATTTCATTTAGACCATAAGCAATGAGCGCGAGAATGTGCATAAATATAAATCAAATTTTCTCAACGAGCATTGGGTCTACAGACTTCAAATTTGCAGGAGATTGATAACACTATCCCAAGCAAAAAAGAGAGGTCTCCCCATGCTTCTATCTATGCTGTAAAATACTCTAAAACTTAAGTAAGTAAAGTCTGTCACGAGCCAATATGGACTAGCAGGCCGGGTTTATCTCCGGTTTCAGTGGCATGAAAAAGTGAGAATATTTCTATTCCCCCTGGATGGGATGGTTACTCCTCAGCTAATGCTGGTAGCCATTGATACTCCTAGGTGGATAGAGAGAGGCAAGTGTGGGTAGAGTGGCTTGCCCAAAGACACAAGATACGGCCAGCAGCTGGATTTGAACCCCTGCCCCTCTGATCATGTGTCACAAACCCTAACCATTAGGCCAGACTCCCTCCCAAACCTAACCTTGTCCAAAAAATACAGTAATGCTACTAAATGTAAACAAAACAAAAAAAATTCCGTGCAAGGGTGATTTCTAAAAATTCTCTGAAAGGAAGAACTGCTAATTATGACATTCCATTTAACCCGTGATTTAATAATCAGTATTTTACTGTTACAAATTGGATATTTGTAGCAGCTTACCCTTGAGATGAGGTCAGTCACAGCTCTGAAGCAGATGTCTTCCAGGAAGCCCTTCTGGACGCACAGGTTCTGAAGCTGTCTGATCACCTCGGCTGAGAAGCGACCGTCCTCCTGATAAAAAGCAGTCCGGGAAAAACAAATCAGATAAGGGGAATGTCACTCCCAAACCAGACTGGTATTCCAGGGTGATGCTGAACTAAGTTATTCCCCGGATTTGAGTTACGTAAATGAAGATTTGAGGTTTTAAAAAGTAAAGAGCAACTACATATCATGCAGGCGTCAAAAAATTGACTATTGCAGTTGTGTGAAATGACTCCACAGAATACTAACTCTTGAGTCGTCTGCACTTCACAACCCTTCAAGGTTTACAAAACCAGTTAGCACCGACATTTCAAATTTTTCTGCGGTAAATCTTGTGTGGAATATGGATAACACTGCAAATCCCTACACAATTCTTTTGTGTGGTTAGGCTCAGGGCAAGCTGGCAGATTCGGCCATGCTTCACTAATACGTTTGTCATTTGAGGGGACAGTCAGGTACAGTAAGAAATAGAAACAGAGACAAGGTACCAGATGTTCTTTTGACACAGTTGATGGATGCAGCACTGAAGGGGTGCTGGACTGGTCGTTTCATGTGCTGGTCTGTTTTCTTGTGTTGCATGTTTTCACTGTCTCTAGCTTTGGGACTCTCATACACAGCATTGAGAGTCCCACATTTTCAGACTAGGGTAACTCTACAAATATGGAACTGATTTTCAAAAGATGACAAACCTTTTGTAGTTTCCCAGACTGGATGATCGATAGGTAGGCAAAGGCTTTCCCAAACAAACATTGCTTCTCTTCCTAAAAAGGAGAAAGAAAAGTGAAACAGTACGACAGAGTCCAGTGATTTAAGTTTCAGTGTAATGAATTCTGCGACTAAACATTTTAGACAAGTGGTCCAACAGATTTTATGCTACCAGAATACTTATCTTTGTTAAAATCACATACATGTACTCAATTGGAAGTCTAATTTGACAGAGTCAAATACATAAGCCAATTCATAAGCTTTCTTTTAGTACAAGAATCATTCAACTCACTCATGTACTTTTCAAGTTACAGAGTTTTAAACACAACCACCGTTTTAAAGTTCTGTCCACGGATCACAAAACAGTTGTGTGTTCTTTCAGCAAAATGAAAACAATTCACACACATCCATACATGTATGTGATTTGTTTTTTGTTTCACTGAAAGAGCTCTGAACTATTTTTGTGATCCGTGGACAGAACCTTAAAACGGTGGTTGTGTTTAAAACTCCGTAACTTGAAAAGTACATGAGTGATTTGAATGATTTATGTACTAAAAGAAAGCCTATGAATTGTGCTTTTATATCCTAAATTTTGAAGGTGCTACATGCAGAACGTCACTAAAACACTGGTTCCAACATTTGGGTTTCATTTTTTTTAACTCACCCTGTATGTACAAACACTGTTATTGTAATAGAATCTAAAATGATACCTGGTAAGCCTTGCAATGTAAACGCATAAAAGTAACTCAAATACAAGCCAATAGCATGCAGTAAGACAAAGTTTCATCAGTTGCAGATTATGATAATAATAAAGGGGGCTAATCATCCTTACTCGCAGCCGAGAAGCTGAATTGCGAAGGACGGGATATGATGTGGTCGAGCCGAATGCATGTAAACTTGTAAAGACGCCTTAGGTTGCTGCCATATGACCCATGCCTGACCACGGAGCACAGCCAGAGATAAAAAAAAAAATTTTGCGGAGGGAGGAAAACCGGAGAACCCGGAGAAAAACCCTTGTGGTACAGGAGAGAATCAACAAACAACTCTACTCACATATGGTCCGAGCCAGAAATCGAACCCGGGCCACATTGGTGAGAGGCGAGCGCTTTACGCCCAAGCCACCCATGCCACCCGTGTTTGGAACATGCATACTTGATAACATGTTTGAACAAAAACAGTTTCACTTACGCTTTTATGTCCTTTGATTTCAAGATGTTCCTTGATAAGCTTGAAGACTTCCGCGAGTGAGATCTGTTCTATGTGCTCGAGCAGCTGGGAAACAGAATAAGAATGCAGAATACAGTTAGTATCAATCAAGAAGTGTTTTTAAAGTATGGATTTTTCAGTGGTCTGAGAAGAAAACACGTAGAAGACACTAGATACCAAAGTATCTTTCGACATTCTTTACTCATAAAATGGTATTGTTTGTTGCGCCATGTCCCAGTCAAGCAGTTTTCAAAAGTTTCATGAGGCAAAGACAAGGTCCTCAGTATTTCACCTGCCAAGTTCGAGGTCTCAATTCAATTTTTTAAAGGAGACTTTTCTTCAACATTTTGCACCTGAGAGGGAAGCCAAGTGATTTTAATTTGAAGCCAAAGGCCAGACTGGTACATGCCCAACTTTTTGAAAAGATTGACCCTTCGGTACTCTGCTGGCATGACTATATGTAGAAATAGATACCAGATTTTTTTTTTGACACAGTTGATTGATGCAGTACTCAAGGGGTGTTGGACTGGTTGTTTCGTGTGCCAGTCTATTTTCTTGTGTTGCACGGTTGTACTTAAGTTTTGGGACTCTCATACACAGTATTGAGAGTCTCAAATCTTCACACTAGCCAAGACCCTCCTCCATCTTCCAAAATCAAACGAGCACTGTTTGGAGATTTTCTGAGGATTGAGGCTGCATAGCTTGAAGTGTCAGTTGATTTTGGAGGGATGTGCATTTTGTCAAGGTCTTAAAGGGACACTAGGTCCTGGAACAGCCCAATTGGGCTACAAAATGCGCTTTGAACGAGATTATGTTGATCGGAAAGAACATTTAAAACTAGGATAGGAACATCCACACAACTACCCTTTCAAAACTGGGCGTTTTTGTGTTATTCCTGTATTATGTGTGCGAGAACGAATTTCGGGGTCCACTTTTGCGACCCCATAAATTCGAGCCGTTTGGATGCTAGTTGTGATTTCATTCGTACGCGTCAAGTGTTCGCCTTTTGCGGACGTTGATTTTTGCATTGGTGATTGGTCACCGCTGATCCTGAGACACACAACGTGTATATCGTACACTAGAGAACGACACGAAAAACGTATTCGTACTCCGTCGTGTCCGATGTAAACAACCGTTTTTTCCCGTCTTTTCTCGGGAACGGTAAGACATTAGGTTGGTTTCCTTTCAACCACATGTTTGAAATAGGATAAGTAAACAATCCAAAACATGTAATTTTCGGGGATTTCAGGACCTAGAGGCCCTTTAAGCTCTATGTTACATTTTTTTATGTTCAGCCATACATAAATGCAGGCCTACATTAAATCATCCGCACTGCTTCAGTGTCTTAAAAGAAATTTGGAGGATTTGAAAGGACTGAGGCAAAGGTCCCCCTCCACTGAACACATTCAAGAAACAACGGAAGATTGTAGAGGATCAAGGCAGAACATAATTTGTACATGGTGGCAATTGGAAGATTTTTCAGGATTGAGGATGCTTCCTAGCCAAAAGGGCCTGGGGTATTATGGACTCAGTACTGAGAGCAGTGAGGGTGCTTTAATTCTCTGGACCAACTACAGTGTGGCTTTCATTTCATCGCGCGGGGCACGGAAACACTCTCGGAATGAAAGCCGCGCTGTAGTTGGTCCAGAGAATTAAAGCGCCCTCAGTTGACAGCAAAATGATGAGAAACGGCCGAGTGCGAGACTCTAATGATCCTGGTGAACAAAATTCTGGTAAATTTCACATTTGAGGGATTTCAACCCACCCTAGAGGTACCTATCCACATCAAGATAATACTTGTGAAATATTGAGGCCGAACATTTCATGACAGGGGAGTTTGGAGGTTTGAAAAAATTGAGAATTTTCTGCTACAGCAACTTCAATTGGTCTTTCTGTAAGGTTTGTAAAACCTTACAGTTCTAAAAGTACCCGTCACTGAAGTGAAATTGTCTCAAATAAGGCCATTTTTCACTTAAGAGCCCTCAATCCCCCGGCACGACCTCAGCCCCCCCCCCCCCCCCCCCCCCCCCCCCCCCCCGGCAGTAACCTCTCTTTTCACCGACTTAGTGCGGGCTTTATCAATCACCTGAGCTAGAGCCATCGCATATCCCTGCCGTGCTCCCTTCCTTGGTGAAGCCAGCCCTCTGACAAGTCTCTTGAGAGCATACTGGACTTCCTCGCACAATACATCCTGTATGGACAAAGTCAATCAGAACAAGCAATGGTTTATTTAGCCTGTTTATTTATTTTCAGGCATTCAATTAAAAAAAAAAATACTAACAAAAAATGCTTGAAAACGCAAGCCCGAGGATTTCCTTGTTTTTCCGCGGAATGTGGTTTATGATACTTTTTGGTCATGTTTTTGGTGATCGTATAGGTCCCCGTTCCTACAGAGATCAAAATCCACTTTTCAAATATATGTATTTCACTTACCAAACTAGTTCAAGTAGTTGGCGTCATTAAGAACACGCAGTATGTCATTACTATAGTGGGCAGGGTTTTGAATTTTTGAAGGAAATTTGGGGGTAAACTGATGATGATGATGACAAAACGCAACACGAAAATATACAAATGTAGATGGTGATCGCCGTGATGTACCATGAACATGCAATATCACGCTGAATTGCAAGGCACCAACCGTAAACCGCGAATGAAAATCGCAATTTCTACCCCAACCTCCTAAGAAACTGTTCGAAATTCCAAAAAAAAGGTGTCATCAAATTCAAAATTGAAAAAAGTCTGATTTAGGTTGAAAATGTCATTTTTGAAAAAACACCCTTGACTCTAACTATTGATCAAAATAAAAGAGGGGCCCTACACTACACGATCGCCTTAAAACTACTAAAACATGTAAAATCAATCGAACAATCACAGTTCACACTGTCTTCACAGTCAAATTTTTTTTTAAAATGCAAACAAAACGAAACACGCATTAAACTTTTAAACAAAATGCACTTCCATTTCTGGGGCGGAGTGGCAATGGGGGAGAAATTGCAATGGGGCCAAGCAGCAATTGGGTAAAATTACAATCATGACAATGGGACGATTTGACAATGGGGCGAAGTGTCACTATGCCAAAGTGAAAAACACGATGTTAAACATGTTGCACCACACTACGCACCGCGGCCGTGACCGTGTCATCAGGTTTATGCTCCGTCTGCTTTCTGCTGACTATATCAATAAGTCTTCCCGCAGCTTCCACCCTTTTATCATCCACTGTGGCCGCAAGGTCCCAGAATGTTTCCAAAAGTTGCTTGTCCTGTTTACTGTGTTTTTCTGGCTGTTTGTGAACCTTATTCACGGTAGCCTTCGCGTCCACGTGCAGCTTGTCGGCCGCCATGTTGTTATTTGGAATTTAATGTTTGTTGGGTCGAAATTTCGTAACTCCAATAAGTTTGATATTTTGGGTTGAAATCAGGGTCTAAACCGAAGAAATATTACAAGATATGACTTTATATTGGAAAATTACATTTTTAATATTCCACTACTTCCTTTGTTTTATTTTTAAAACCAATTTACAAATATCATATTCAGTTAAATCTCTTGAAGTTTAGAGGTCAAAAGGTCAATCTGGATGTCTTTTTAGACTCTAATCCAAGATGTCGGGACATGCTGATAACTACAACGCATTTTCGGGCGGCGCAGGAAATTATTCGAGGTTAGCCAGTTTATATTTTACCGATAAAAAACATCTTTGGACTATCTAGTTTCAATGTGTGTTATTTTTGATTATTTTACTGCCCGCATTGTGCAAAAATTTGAAGTATAAGTGTGAAGCCTGAAAATATGTTATGCACAAAAAATACAGCATGGCTTTTGGCGCAAGAGGGCGCCCTCATTTAATAAATGTGCACATTTCTTGCAAATCTATTATTTTTGTAATGCCAAATTCTGCAAATATGTCATCTGATTATATGTTATCCTGTCTTCAGTCCTAACATAGGTACAACTATAGAATGCAGGGCCACTTTACTCTACATCCGCGCCTCCGTACGGCTGCGTGGAGGCGTGGAACCGCAGTCGACCTTCCTCTGAAAATCGATCGTGGAGTCGTGGAGCCGCAGAAAATTGCGCCCTCTATCGGTGCGCGTCTCTGCGACTCTATCGGTGCGCGTCTCTGCGACTCCGCGACTCCGCGCCTCCACCACTGAGAGACAGTGCCCCGTCGCCCTCCCCCCCCCTTCCTAATTTGCACGCCCAATTAAAGCGACTCTGCGACTCCGCGCCTCCGCGACTCCAGACAGTGCCCCGTCGCCCTCCCCCCTTCCTAATTGGCCCGCCCAATTAAAGTGACTCTGCGACTCCCCGACTCCGCGCCTCCGCGACTCCAGACAGTGCCCCGTCGCCCTCCCCCCTTCCTAATTGGCCCGCCCAATTAAAGTGACTCTGCGACTCCCCGACTCCGCGCCTCCGCGACTCCAGACAGTGCCCCGTCGCCCTCCCCCCTTCCTAATTGGCCCGCCCAATTAAAGTGACTCTGCGACTCCCCGACTCCGCGCCTCCGCGACTCCAGACAGTGCCCCGTCGCCCTCCCCCCCCCTTCCTAATTGGCCCGCCCAATTAAAATGGATATGGATGCTTCGTTCTCAAAAAGATTCCGCCGAGAATTGCGCCCTCTATCGCTACGCGTCTCTGCGACTCCGCGACTCCGCGCCTCCGCCACTCCAGTGCCCCGCGTCTCCGCGATTCTGCGACTCCAAGACTCCGCGCCTCCGCCGCTCCAGACAGTGCCCCCAACACATTTACAAGCACGCCCTCCCTTCCGATCCTTCATGAGAAGCTTTGAAGACAAGTGCAGTGCATTCCTTCGCTGTACTTAGCACTTTTTTGCAGGTTTGCATATCTATTACTCCTATTCCATCCACGCCTCCAGGCAAAATAAAAAACCTTGCTTCGGCGTGGCCCTGCATTCTATAGTTGCTCCCTAACATAATGTTTATGTTTGTTTTATATTTCTTAAGTTATAAATAACCCCCAAAAAATGACAGTTCAATTGTTTTATCGCAGTGGCCATTATGGCTATCGTTTTGGCAGTCGACCGTCTGGTTCCCTGACCTGCATGACCTGTAAATATTCAGCGTCTGGCTCTTGCGACCAGACTATCACCCAAATAGTTCTCGGACTTCATTTCCCTTTAAAAAAATATCAGCCGAAGCCCCTGATTAAGAAAAAAAATGATATCTAGGCCTACTTCAATAAAAAGTAGTAGGGCCTATTTGATGAAAAAAAAACATAAAAAGTAAAGAAACTTTTTGTGATAAATTTTGCATTTTACCATCCATGGTCCTCATTTTCAGTCAATAGTCCTATTTTTAATTTATGCACAAGTCATTGAATCGACGTTTTGAACTTTTGCTCGCTGAATTTACATGTATTCAGTTTGGTTAAAAATTTCCCTCTTTACTCTTTCTGTCTTTCACTTTCATTATCATTGAATTTTCAGTAAAATGAATATATTTTGACGAAGGATTTTTCTACCATTTCACTTCTACACAGGGGACGTGATCGTGACAATGACTTCGGAAGGGGCGGTGGGGGTTTTGGAGGTGGTGGTTTCGGTGGGGGTGGGGGATACGGTGGGGGAGGGGGTTACGGAGGCGGTGGGGGAAGGCCACAGAAGCCGATGCCCACTGAGCCCCCCTACACCGCATATGTAGGCAACCTACCCAACGACTGCTTGCAAGGAGATCTGGAGACAATCTTCTCAAGTTTGTCGGTAAATCTCAAATAATTATGATTGGGGTTAGAAAATATATTAAGCCTATAACCTTCCCAAATCCTTCAAAATCCTCTTTGCAAAATGGAAGATTTTGCAGGATTGAGGCTATATGGCAAAAGTGTGTGGCTGATTTCGGCAGATGCATTGTGTCAAGATCTTAGGCCGGACTTGTGTTGTTTATGCTCAACCGTGCATAATTTTAGGCCGAGATTATACATGAAATCCTCCGCATTGCTCCAGGATGTCACTGGCTCTGCCTCAACATATTAACAGTGATTGCCGGAGGATTTTGCATGATTGAGGCAGTGGTCACCCCTCCAAGGACCACATTCAAGAAGTAACACAGGATTTTGCAGGATTGAGGCTGTATGCTATTTTTACATGGAGGCAGTTTGACGATTTTGCAGAATTGACGTTACATCCAACATAAATGCCTAGGGAGTTAGGGTTAATTAAAATATCACAACCATCCTATTATTTATTTTGTTGCCTAACTGAGCCTACATCCCTATTACATTTAGAAAAATAAATCAGTTCTGTGAAAAAAAAACATTATTTCGTGCATTTTGCAGTATCTCCCCACTCGCCCCTAAAGACTGATTTAATTTAAGCATGAGGTTTTTCTTCTCGACAGGAGAAGATTAAAGTTATACGCCTGGTTCGTGATAGGGACACAGACACGTTTAAAGGTAAGTACACTCGCTGTCTTATCCTACCTATGCTACAGATCCCTCAAATCCATTCCAAAATTGTGAAACATCTGTAAGGACAATGCCCTCAGAATATGATTTGATGGTTTACCATATATGTATGTCTGGAAATTACAATATAACAGGACAATTTTAAAACCTTCAAAAATATCTAATGTCAATTCTAGTGAACTTGGGGAACGTCTCAAAAAATTAAACCAAAATATCTTGAGACTCGAACCGTAAAACTCCAATGCACTAGTGCAAATATTTTTACCACTCGGCCAGCAAGTTTGCAGGGGTTGGCGGTTGCACCTCATGACAAGATATCTCATTTGTGAGTTTGTGAGGCTCTGAATAGGACCAAGGGAAACTCAAAAACTCTCAAAGAGGGGTTTGTTTTGGTCACTTGTGCAACTGCAACTTAGTCTTAGTGCTTACCAGTGTTGTAGTACTCGTACTCGGTACTCGTACTCGAGTACTACTTGAGTACTTTTTTTGGAGTACTCGTACTCGTACTCTACTCGAATGTCAAAGTACTCGTACTCAAGATGACGGTACTCGTACTCGGGCAGCAAAGTACTCATACTCGACATGTCGAAATTGTACTCGATCATTAAAGTACTCGTACTCGAATAGCAGTACTCGGGGGGGGGGGGGGATGTTATAGCTTCACTTACGATGGCCTTATTTTATCGATACTTTCAGTTTAAAATGGTCGATTGGCTTGTAGAGAAATCGACATTTCCTGATTTTCCTCTGTGCACGTCTGGACAAACACATTTAACAGCTAGCCGTGAGTGGGTCTGTATATATCGGTCTGACTGGGCCTGGGCCAATTACGCACAATGAACCATTTGCCGTATGGCCGTATTGCCGTATTCGGAAATGTTCGTACTCGCACTCATACTTGGAAGTGCAGTACTCGTACTCGGAAGTACAAGTACTCGTACTCGGAGACCCGTTCTTGTACTCGGAGGTACAAGTACTCGTACTCGGCAACCTAAGCACTCGGTACTCGGAAAAAAGTACTTGACTACAACACTGAAGCTTACTTCACCATGCAGACCTTCAAATCATATGCCATATGTTCCTGTGAGGTAAATGTTTACTGTCTTCCACTAACTGTCAGTTCTCAAAGTGAATCCTCTCTTTTCTCAATTGTTCCCCCCCCCCTCTCCCCAGGGTACAGTTATGTAGAATTTGATGACCAGGAGGCGCTGAAGGAAGCACTTCAGTACAACGGTGCTGTAAGTACAACTACAACTAGCGGGGTGCCGTGGTCCAATGGTTACGGTGTTCGACTCGTGTGCCGTGGGAACATGGGTTTCGAATCCTGACCGTGGGAACATGGTGCTTGTGCTCTTGAGCAAGGCACTTTACCACTATTGCTTCGTCCTTCGGATGGGATGTAAAGCCGTAGGTCCCGTGTGTTGTGTAATGCACGTTAAAGAACCCAGTAATGCTTATAGCTAGGAGAAGGGGTTTGCCCCGGTGTTTCTGGCAGTGGCTGCTTAATGCGCCATAGCACCTTGTAAACCCTCATAAAGGTGCTACATAATGGGTCTCATATTTCTCATGTACTTCATTCATCTGTCTCTAATAATAGACATAATTTCCAGTGCCTTGAGTACCTAATTGTTGGTAGATACGTGCGCTATATAAGACTCCTGTATTATACAAAGCCACCAAATCCACCCAAATATAATAACCTGGTTTTACAATATTTTGGTAGGTTCAGGACAAGATAAAAAAAATACTTGTAAAATGAGAACTTGCCAAATTGTTAATTCACACAAATTATAGTTAATTACACTTTATTCTCCCTAAAAATACTTGTGACATTTTCTGCAAATTTGAATTTGCAAAGTTCAAAGGATATATTGGAAGATTCAAGAAAGCTTCTTGCCAAAAATATTTGAGAGAAACTAAATTAAGGAAAAATTATTCAAGATTCAAGAAAGATTCAAGAAAGCTGCTTGCTAAAAAAACAGAGAATATAAATTTAGGAAAAATTATTCCGATTTGTAAGTTTGGAGATGTTTCTTGCCTTATTTTGATCAGCGTTTATGTATTTGTTTGCTTCTTACGTTACAGCATTCGTTTTATCAATCATGATTTTTACCATATTTGTGCACAGGTTTTTGAAGGCAAGCAATTGAAGGTTGATATTGCTGATGGCAAGAAACCAAGAGATGGCGGGCGGGGAGGTAATTTAAACAACCTTTTCAATTAATTTAATTTAATTAATTTGATTCTGGATCCTGTTAATTCCTTGAGTTGAATATTGGCATACTGTGAAGCAGTACAGTACAGTAGTGAACATACCAGTTATAAAATAGTCAATTTAGGCTTAGAAATTGTTTATTTACTGTAACAGCCAAAAAATTAACAAGGTAGGGAGGTTGGAAATGATTTTTTTTTAAAGTTTATTTATTGGTCTTTATACATAATTTGTTTAGTTTAGTACCTTTAACAGTATTCTGTACAATGAACTTGTGTTATCCAATAACACAATTCACACACATCCGTATGTGATTTGTTTTGGTTTTGCTGAAAGAACACTCAACTTTTTTGTGATCCGTGGACAGAACCTTAAAACGGTGGTTGTGTTTAAACTTCCGTAACTTGAAAAGTACAAGAGTGATTTGAATGATTCTTGTACTAAAAGAAAGCTTATGAATTGGGCTTTCATATCCTAGATTTTGAAAGTGCTACATGGAGAATTTCACTAAAACAATGGTCCCGACATTTTGGTTTCGTTTTTTTTTTACTCACCTTGTATACACACAAAACTGGCATAGGGAAGAATTTTTTAATTTCACGTATACATGTACTTTATTTGAAATTTTTGGCCGAATGTGGCAGCAACAAGTTTGAGGCCGGCAATTTGGCGGCAACAAACTCCATTTCCTTGGCCTGATAGTGTGATTTTTTTTTTTTTTTTTTTCTTGGCAGGTTTTGGTAGAGGTGGGCGGGGCAGAGGCGGCCCTAGTAGAGGGGGATTCAGGGACGAAGGTAAGACTCGTCCTCATCATTGTTCCTTGCGTTCTTTCACATAGACAATGTACTCTCATATATGCCGACCCTCTCACAGTATCAGTACCTGGGTCTCGCACTGTATATCTCACTTGTCAGCCTGCGTTGTCCACCCATCCAAATTAACCCTAACCCTCATGGGTATTTTGGCTAGAAACCCTGCCAAACGCAGCAACATGCAACACTTGTCTAAATGACAAGCCTGCCCAGTGTAGCAAGATCCATCGGGTCAAAAGTCTCAAGGCCACACTGCCTCAGAGTCTGTGGTCCCCCAACGCAGCAGGATACAACTGTGGCATTGTTCTATGGGGCTAGTTCTCATTGTCTCAGGAGTGGCTGTTTATGCACTGGTGTTGATAGCTGAATGCATCAAAGTGCACCAGACTTTTCCACCTGATACACTGTGCTGCGTCTGGCAGGGGTAGGGTTTTAAGGAACTCTCTACCACCATCCTTCAACCCACAGCCTTTCAAGAGCTTCATCAAAAAGCTCCATCTCATATCTCTAGTCTCCTTTGTCAAGCATCCTTTCAGACCATAGGTGCTCCCTGCCTTAACTTGGCATTATCTACTTATAAAAACAATTCTACTGGTGTCTAGATCAAGCACATTTGTGGGGCGCTGTGGTCCAATGGTTACGGTGTTCGACTCGTGTGCCGTGGTACATGGGTTCGAATCCTGACGGGAACATGGTGCTTGTGCTCTTGAGCAAGGCACTTTACCATTATTGCTTCCTCCTTCAGATGGGACGTAAAGCCGTAGGTCCCGTGTGTTGTGTAATGCACGTTAAAGAACCCAGCAACACTTATCGCTAAGAGAAGGGGTTTGCCCCGGTGTTTCTGGCAGTGGCTGCAATATGCGCCGCAGCACCTTGTAAACCCTTAAAAGGTGCTACATAATGGGTCTCATATTTCTCACAAACTTCATTTACCTGTCTTTAAAAATGGACATAATTACCAGCGCCTTGAGTACCTAATTGTTGGTAGATACGTGCGCTATAGAAGACTCCAGTGTTTTCATTATTATTATTTTTATTAGATAGTTAGAGTTCATATTACTGTTTGCATCTTTTTCAACTGCCAGGCAACGACTTCAGAAGGGGCGACAGGGGACCCCCACGGGGGGACGACGGGTACCAGGGTGGGGGAGGCAGTAGGGCACGCGATGACTACGGGCCGTCGAGAGGATCCCGAGGGGGTGGCTACCGAGACAGAGGGGGGTACGACAGAGGGGGGTTCGAACGCACTGGCAGGCCAGACGACTTCAGAGAGCCCGACCCTGGTGAGTGGACAATTTTTTGTGGAAATTTAGTTGCACAGTGAAATCTCGATAAGTCAAACCCCAAGGGAATGGGTTCAGCATTTGACTTCAGCAGAGTTTTGAGTTAAGCAGGGTTGTATATCATTGTAATACTACTGAAGGCAATAGATTCTTTGTTTGATTTAACAGTTGTTTTGAGTTATCAGAGTTTGACTTATCAAGATTTCCTGTATCAGAAACAAAAGAAATGCAGTCATCCTCCAAGAGTGGTAGTGAACAGCAAACTACCCAACAAAATTTTAAAAAAATTGTTTGAAGTCATTCTTAGTGATATTTTAATGGCAAATTACAAAGTTCAGAGGTAAGAGAAAAACCATAGAAAACTAGAAGACCATGAAGTACATTTTGAAATTTTTTGAATGTGCAGATACAATTTATCCTTGGCCTGTACCGAAGTTTCAGCGCTGTGTTATGTAAGCTGAGTAAAATCCTGCATGTTGTGCAAAAGGGTTGGGTTGGGATAGGAATCATTTGCCCTTGAGCATTAAACTGAGGTCTTGCCATGATGACTGATAGCAAGGCAAATGATTCCAATCCCAACTGCGCTGCAGCCCTTTTCACAACATGCAGGATTTTACACAGCTTACTTAACACAGTACTGAAATTGAATAAGGCAAGGAACTTGGTCACAGTGTCCAAAAATGTTATTGTGATCAATTGATCATAGTGCAGTGAGCCGCGAGGGTAATTAAATGAAACTCATAAGGATTTAGGCCAAGAATATGAAGTATCTGCACAATTAAACAATTTCAAAATTGACTGCGTGGTTTTGTAGTTATCTAAAAAATAGTCAGACGGACTCCTTTTTTGGGGACATACTGTAAAATGACCAATATGGGCCTACATGCTTCTCAATGGTAAAACAATGCCAGTTTGTCCCCATCAAAGCCTGTGATGGACTGCGGCTTTCAATAACTTTCCATTAATACCATACGCACATACTTTTTTTTGGAACAATGTTTTAGCTGATTCGGCAGGACGGCCGAAGCTCAAACTCCAGAAGCGAACCGTCAAGGAGCCCGTCAATCAACTGGCGGACGCCATGCAGCGCAGCTCCATCTTCGGTCAAGGGAAACCGCGGGAGGAAGGCAAGCCAAAAACGGACAAGGACGGGCCACGGGAAAGCGCTGATTGAAAGAAAGCAAAGAAAAAAAAAGGCAGCTCGTTTCAAAAGCGTCTGTAATTTGTACCAAATTATTCGTAAAGAATTTGTTCAAAGTGTCCCCGGCATTATTTCAGCACCGGAGGAAGACGGTTTAACTTAAAAAAAAAAATTAATCAACATTGTTATGTGCCCTTTGTATATAAAAAAACAGTTTTGTCCTTAAAAAATATTTTGAGAATTTTCTTCATCGATAGCAAATTGAGATTTGTATAAAAGGGCTACACTTCTAGTGTGAGGAAACTCCCCTAGTCAATCAAATCGCAAAGGTGGCTTTTATGTTTAGATTTCAAAAACAGAACGTGATATTTTGTCGTTTGTGTCCGGTTCAGTAGTGTTGGATCGTGTTGCTCGGTTTAAATATAGTTTCAGCGATGGCATTATTTTTACTGTGTGTTACGTTCCTTTTAAACCAAAAAAGGTGTAAAATGCAACTGAAATGATTTGGACGTACCGTTTAAGGTCTGATATGAAAATTGTTATTTTTTTATAAAGACCTTTAAAAAAAAATGCAGTTGCGATTAAAAAACAAATTTCCAGTGAGACTGTCTTACTCCCCATTAAATTCCTACTTCAAAAGTTTTCTCGTGAACTTGTGACTAGAAATGTAAATTTTATTCCAAAACGATTGCATGACTTTTTCTTGTAATCCTCCATTTAAGTGTGCATCCCAAACTAACCCCTTTTTTTCTGAAAGGCTCTTTTGTTATTTTTTTCTGCATGGCTAACATCGAGTCATTTTTTTTTCAAGTTAATGACGCAAACTATGCTGTTTAGCTTTTGAAAAAAAAAATTTTTTTAATTTTTTTTTATTAAAGGGACTCTCATGTTGACATTTCTTTGGTTTGCAAAGGAATAAATAAGAAATAAGAAAACTTCATAGATGTCTTCAATTATTTCCACACCGAGCTGGAAATTAACTTTTTTTTTCACGGCGTTCACCAATTCCAACATTCTTGTAAATCGTTTGGTTTCATCTTGTAAAACTCAACAGCAGGATTTTGAAATCTTTGGATGCCGTTCTAAATTTGTTTCTCCCATTTATCCTTTAAAATTTCATTTCGGCGGGCGTCTCGAAAAGGAACTCTTTAACACACTGTTGGTATAAATAAACACCCGTTAGTAGAATGTAGCTAGCAATATTTCTTAATTGTCTTTTAAATTAAGCGTTCTCTTTATAAACATCCTTCGAAAAAAAAAAGATAAAAAAAAAGTAAATGGACTATTAGAAGCTGCTCCACCTTGTATTATATGCTGATAATAATTAGCAGTCAAAAGGCAAGAGTAGGATTTCCGTATGTACAAAATGGACTTGATGCCATACAATAAAATGTTTTCAAAGTAAACGGTGACAAGTGTTTCTGGTTTTCATGTTATTAATGTGTTGAGTAGAATCATGCCTTTTTAGCAGTCAAAGACTGTGAGTCACATTGCTGACTATTGGAAAGAGGAAAATTAATCCGATTACGTGGTACTTTTGTCTGATTGAACCACTTTTATTATGCGCCAAGGAAAGTTGAGTAAAAAAAAAGGGAAAAACAAACGGGTTCAGACGTCTTAAAGAAGGAATTTGTGCAGACAGAAAATATTTGCATTGGAAAAATATTCGTACAGAATTTAAAATTACTACAAAATCCGTTTCATTGTGAAATTGTTCATTTTTGATTGGGTTATAGGATTTGTCGCATACCACGGGGGTATAAATAATTTTTAAAAAAAGTTAATGGTGTGTTAAACAAGTGCATGTGCACAATAATTTCTGGCGAAAAATGTGACGCCGATGGCGCATTTGAAACACCATAATATAGGTCAATTTTCATTTCATCCTGGATACTGTCCAACCAATACAAAAAAAAATACCACATGAGTATAACATTACTGCACATATTTTGCCTTCGTTAACAAAATTTTCATAAAAAACTTTACAAATTGTTACAAACAATTTTTAGAGTTTACTGACGATAGCATGGCATTTGCTCAATTTTTGGTCAAATATTTTTGGTCGAATTTCCAGGGACAGACATAGGCAAAATAGGCGCGCATGCGCATCGATCGAGACAAAGCGCGTTTACCCATTAACTTTTGTTAAAAGTGCATTAACTCACGATGACATGGTACTTGCTCAATTTTTTGGCCAAATATTTTTGGTAAATTTTCTGGGAACAGACAGATAGACAGACAGACCGACCGACCACTAAGTGACATGTAGAAGCACCTGCCAGAGCTTAAAAAATAAAATGACTCGACACTCGTCACTCTTCCAATTGATGGATTACGTTTTATTTCAAAAATTACATCCTGCAGTAATTTGTACAATTTCTTATACAAACAGTGACACAATATTCACTTATTTTCCAGTTTTGTTTACAATATTCTACAAAACACAAGTTGCTTTTGTTTTCAAGTCAGTGTACACAATTCACAACAACAGTCCGTACCAATACATTTTAGTCAACGGTTACAAAATACAAGTTCGTGTATTGATTTTTTGTCTTGTCAAAACTATTTACAAAGTCACAGTTAGTTCGGACATGACACGTTATGATTTTTTTTTTTTTAAAGTAGAAAGATTGCGGGTAACACCATGTTGAAAGTATTCTCTTCTTGGAAGAAGTGTGGTTCTGAAAAGAACCGGTTGGTTGAAGTTCTACACTCAACCAATCGGTTCTTTTCAGAACCAAACTTCTTCCAAGAAGAGATTACTTTCCACATGGTGTTGCCCGCAATCTTTCTACTTATTTTTCATCCGCCATGCAAAACTTCAAGTCATATGCAAGATTTTTTTTTAGTGTATTTGTATAAAGGGATTTTCCCTTAGAAAGGTAATTGTAGATACACGCACACATTTTTTTCACGGCTTGTTTACTTAGAAATCCTCTCGATCAATGATTGATTTAAAGCTTGACTTTTTAATTTGGGAAAATCACATTTTCACATGACTTTATCTCAGTTGATTCAATAGCGGCAACTTGATATGAAAGTGATGACTTTTGATTTTAATAATCATGAGGACTAGTTATTACTTTGTGAAACGTTTAGACTAATGCGGGGAACAAAATTAGAAACCATTTTTGAAGTGGTGCCACATCCGCGTGCATGCTGCACGCGTTCTTAAAGACAAGGCGCACGCGCATTTTGGCAACCCGAATTGGTCGAAGGAGCCCGGAGAACGTGCGTACTGCCTGAGCGCATCTCCACGGCGCCACCTCAGAAAATAGTTGTGGACACCATGCCTTGTAAAAAGCCTTTAAAAAAAACATGGCTCATTCCTCACACAAGACAACCGTAAAGTCAACCATTGTTTTGTTACACGTAGCATAAATGTATGCCAAAAGCAGCCATGCAATAACAAAAAATTTAGCTCACTGCAAACTCTGATTAACATGAACACAAGTGCCACATGGATGGAACACATATTGAATGAGTGTTTTTTTATATGAAAAATCTTGTGTGCAATAATAATTGAATAGTCACAGCAAATTGCAACTAATGTATGATACAACATACGCTTCTTAAAGTTCAGCATAAAACATGAGATCATGTTCTGTGACTGGTATGATCAGGCATGAGATTTTTTCAGACTTTTGTCTGAAATCGGACTTTTTGAATCTGAGAGAAAGATATTACCAGTATAGAAAGAGATATACCTTTCGACCTGTGATTCAATTTTCAGACTTCTTATTAAATTGACCATCTCATACCTGTATGGTGTAACATGGGGTGATGTGAAGAATGTTATAGTCGCTTTTACAAACTGGACACTCCGAGCGTTCGTGAACATTCATATTACATCATGCAAGATAAAACAGACACAATTTCACCGGTGCCCAACTGCACAGGGCAGTGTTGTTTTCATACAAATTCCCTGGTATGTTCACCAATCACGCCATCCAGCAATTAGGACTTATTGCACAGACTTTTTTTTAACCTTATTAGTATTTCTTTTATCGCCTCGTTAAGATGGGTATTATTACAATATGTGCTAATTACAGATTGTATCATAGACAATTGGCTTTTTTTTAATGAAAAAAAACCCACAATAATTTAATGTGACAATTTTTACAAGAGTTTTGGCCTGACATATTTTTGAAACAGTTACAATTGTTCAACATCATGGTGGATTTAAGTTGAAACTGATCACTTGTCCGAAAATGTGGAATTGTTTTTCAGTACCTATAAAACTGATGATTGTAATGTTTTTATTAGTTCATTTTGGAATATATACATGTACACGAATGATTCTTTTTTCTTTTCTTTTCATTTTAATGCATTGGTTCTGGTACGGCGATATATGGGATGAACTTACACAAGTTTGGAATCATATGTCTCTGATACAACTGTAGTCCGAGTAACTAGGACTCTACGAATCGCCTTTTTTTTAACATTTGGAGATAGTCAGGCGATAGTAGGGTCCTATGATCTTAGAGTACATGGCAATACCAATAACCTATTTTGACCATTTTCACTCATTCCCCCTATCAAAATCTTCAGATTTCACCCCCAAAACAGTCCTCAAACTGCCTGTGCGCCCCTGTAGGCTTCAGTGGGAATTGAAAATACAAATGGTGGTGGTTAGGTTCACATACCTTTTGGAAGAAAAGAGAAATTTCACCTTCAATTCGGGAAACATCCTTGTCACAAACGCCTTGTTGGAGGCTGCCATTTTGAATTCAGGAAAAATTGACTGGGATCAGACAGACCAATCACAGGGCACTTTGATTGGTCACCTGGATTGGTGACCAATCAAAGTGCCCTGTGATTGGTCAGGTGACCAATCAAAGTGCCTGTGATTGCAAAATGCAGATTGTAAAGTAAAGCATAGCAAGTTGGTGACAAACAGGTAATAAAAATTAAAGGAGGCAGTCACTGTTAAAAAATATCACATTGGATGTTGCAATTTTTAGCAGGTTTCAGATTTTTAACATGAAGTCTTCTTGTCATTTAGGTGAAAAATAAAAATGGATTAAGTGAAGCCCTCAGTTGCAACAGTGGCCCAAAAATCTACACTTTCCTTTGTTTTTTTTCTTTTACAAATTCTACTGAAGTACACGTATTTGTCAAAAGGCAATCGGTACCCATGCTTATTTTATGCTCAAATCGGCTTTTAAGCAAGGCAAATTCGTTCAATTTCCTCGTAAAAAAATCGCACTTCTGGAAATGTTAATTTTGAAAAAAATGTGACTCTACAAATGTGACACATCGATTATTTTTGCGGTGATACATCAAGTACGTTTTCCTTTTTTCTTTTTTGTTGTTGTTGCATGTTTCCCTGTTTGTATTTGTGCTCTGAAACAGATTTTGCCAAGTCTGTATGGATCTCTTTCGTAGCACGCCATTTTCGTAGGAAACTTACAATTGCGTATTCAACGCCGTCAGGTGCGTGTGTGCGCAGTTTGCAAAATGTTCTAAACACGCACGCGTGTTGCTCGAAATTTCTTTGCTTTGTTTATCATTAAAGTTTATCGTTAATTAGCTTAAAATTCACTTTTCTTCATCCACACTTGTTTTTTTGTTTATCTTTTCCACAAATGTATACTTATTTACATACCATATATCACAACTGTCACATTTATACACATACACAAATATAAATATATATAATCCATTATATAATCCTTTTGCTTTTTTTTAAATTCTGTGTAAAAAATACTCAAATACACAACCGATCAATATCATTTGAAATATACAAAAAAAATCAATTCTCAGGTATAAAGTAACATTTCACAATCTTTGTGAGTTTTGAACACGTGGTCTTTGTTGACTATAACACACAGCTTCATGCAACGATTTACATGTTGTTGAATTAAGAAATAAATACATTGTTTTCATCAAGTGTTGTGCCATAGGTTATTAATTGGAAATGCTGGGTACTTTTATTGTGAAGAACACACCACAAGTGATCCGCGGACCGCACGTGTCGCCTTTTTCCGCGGTCAATCCGCATTAGGTTTAGTGTCCTTATAAACAGTCAAATTTTGTGCATTTTTAAACAATGACCTCAAATGACCCCTACATGACCTTTGACCTTCAATTTCGGAGGACTTGTGATGAACCATCAACCAAGGATCATCCAACTTACATTCAAATCCATGAAATTCTGTAGACAAGGACACATTTGAAGCATATTTGAACAATGACCTCTAATGACCCCTACATGACCTTTGACCTCAGTAGTCCTATGAAGAATTGTGTCTTCCCACCCAAGGGTCACTGCATCCAAGTTTCATCAAAATCCATGAAAGCATGTAGAAGTTATACTTTTTTTTTCAAAACTTTAACATACATGAACGGGTCTACAGACATACGGGTCCACGGCCATACAGAATTTAGGACTGGTAAGTGTCTCCCAAAAGTTCGTTTAGGCGACACAATAAAACGCCGTTTTGCAGGGTGGTCGTTTTTCTGCCTTTTTTTTTATAAAAAAGGGGGATTTTTCCCTCTTCCCGACATCTGATTCATCTAACATTCAGATGAATTAAAACTGAAGCATTTTTTTTGTCAACTATTTACTTTTATGATATCCTAATAACAATCCAGATTAAGGTATTTTTTTCTGCATTTTCTGCAATATTTCAACCAAAACATTTTCAAAATCTCATGTGACAAAGAAAAGGGCTCATTCCAAACTGCACGATTATGTAGCCCTTATTTTAAAATTCTCAAACTGAATTTGGCACAGACAAAATAAACATGGGAAAGATTTGTTTGGCGAATTCCGGTTACCAACTAAATTGCAATGCAATGCCTATTGCCTTTTTGTAGTCGGTTCCCGGAATTATTGCTTATCCAATGAATGCATCTTTAAATAATTTTCCGCTCGTAGGACTTGGCTTTGTATTTTGATCAAAAGATATCGTCAAAACAAATATTTTGTTAATTTATTATAAACAAATGTTCATACATACAGCGCAGGAACTGTGTAATTGTTCAGATTCAAACGTTTAGCCGGCTAAATACGCAACACAAATTTGCTCTTTTTCAAACAAATGCAGATTCAGTATAAGCGTATTTGTGCAAAATATGATAAAAAAAATGCAAAATAACATAGTACCTCGGTATACACAATTATAAATCTTATGTGCAGCAGCGTAGTTTCAAAAATTAAATCACATGAAAAAAAAAAAAATTTAATCGGCCAACAACTAAAAGCTACACTTCTGGATTTGATTATTAATGTTCACTTAGTCCTGCAATGATATATAATTAGATTTTGTTTTTATCATCTAGAACTGTTTATGGTGTTTGAATTACAAAGAATATTTCTGAATTGATGTTTATAAAATCTACACAGTTAACTAGTACGGTTCTACTTTACGCTAAAAACGAAAACTCACTATTTATTTACAGAACTGCAATCTACAGCGAGACAAGCTGAGTTATACTTCACTGCGGCCCGACAATCATGGTTCAAAATCAGAGTTCAAGACTGAATTTTTCAATTTCTCATATTTTGAAGGAAACAAAAGGACAGAGATATTTTGTCAAGAGAACAGATTTTGATTGCAAAAAGTTTTTCAGCAAGATAGAGCATCGTAAGACTTTGAATGGAAAAAAAAATTAAGGGGGAAAAAAATCCCGCCAAAACGCAGAGTTTTGTCATGGAGCAAAGGTCAAGGGTTAGGTATATCTCTTCATTTGTTATATTTTCTGCACCCCTCTTCCCAGAATTTGTTTACAAATAATCAGGAAGAAACTGCAGAAAGTGTGAAAAATTAGCCTCTTTATTAGGTCTCACACTGATTCAACCAAATTGCATTGGTCGGCCAATCAAATTGCTTTGAATTGAGCACATTATCATACGAGTCATATGATTGGTTGATTCACGCGAGTAGAATGAGTTGATTGGCTGGCCATAGTTGAGTGAAACATGGGTTGAAAGTCATCACATTTAATTTTTTGACTTATTGCCCCTTAAAATCTGGCATAACGAAAAACAGCAAATGTTGTTTTCCTTTAATAAAAGGTTCACAATCATTGGGATATCAGACAAATTTTTGATGAATAATGAAAACCAGCTCTAATCCCTTAAGTACAAGTTCAGAGATTGTAAACATCTCCCAATTACGTAGTCTCCCTAGCAAGTATAAACTAATAAATTCAGGCATTTATGATTTTCCCTTTTTTTATGAAAATAATTTCCCCAATCTTTGGTGTGTTGTGGAATTTTCAAGTTTTTTTCAAAAGTGGCTGAAGTTGGTTTAACTCTAACCTTTCCAAATCCTCCAAAAATTCTCTGTGCAAAATGGAGGATTTTGCAGGATTGAGGCTATATGGCAAAAAGGTGTGGCTGATTTTGGAGGATGCACTGTGTCAAGGTCTTTGGCCGGACCTTGTGTTGTTTATGCTCAGCCGTGCACAAATTTAGGCCTAGATTATACTTGAAATCCTCCACACTGCTCCAGGATGTCACTGGCTCTGCCTCAACATATTGACAGTGATTGCTGGAGGATTTTGCAGGATTGAGGCAGTGGTTACACCTCCAAGGACCACATTCAAGAAATAACAGAGGATTTTGGAGGATTGAGGCTGTGTTCAATTTTGACATGGAGGCAGTTGGAGGATTTTGCAGGATTGAGGTTGCATCCTAGCAAAATTGCCTAGGGAGTTAGGGTTAATCTCCTGAAAAATTTTTTTTTTAGATTTCTATTTTTTATTTTCTTCTAGTTTGTTTACAAGCACACGTCCTAGTTTCTTAAGTTACATTTGTTTTAAATGAATTTCAAGAGAGGAGCTACATGTACACTGAGTAGAAAACGAACTGAATGTTTCAGCGAGCAAAGAAAATTGGACTTAACTTTCAGGTCTAGAGCCCAAAACTGACACTAGACAAACGCGAACTAGAATGAAACACTTGCTGGCTCTTCATTTGAGAACAATTCTGCGCTGAGAAATCACAGCCAAGGAATGCAACAAGAGATTGGAAAGAACGGAGGAAATTGGACAAGAAATAATGGGAATGAGGAAAAAACGAACAAAAATATTGAGAAATGAAATGTCTTCAGCGCTTGATCATGGCGCTGCAGGTGTGCACGCCGTAGCGCGCCGACATCCAGAGCCAGAGAAGCCACGAGCCCAGCACCGCCCCCAGCCTGCCTCGCTCCACTAGTCATTGGATGACGCAGAACCGCTTGTAGTCGGCCTCGATGTCGTCATCAATCGGCGTGGTGTCGGCCTCCCTGCCGCGCACGTCCGGGATGAAGTCGGCGTAGCTCAGGCCGTGCCGCTCGTAGAAGAGCATGTAGGCGTTGTCCTTGTCGATCTCGTCTTTGACCTCCTGTGGAGAGGGTCGAGGTCAGAGGTTAGAGGTTAAACAAAACGTGTGTTCAATTAGAGTGACTGAAAAGAATTCACTTCAGATGACTTTTGCCAACCACGGCCTTACTGTGATTGGTCAATTCCTGATCCCAGATGTTACGTTACATTGTGCTCAGGATGTCAACAAGCGATAATCTTATATAGTCCAGCTGATATGTGTCTGAATTTTACTGAATTTTACACTTTTTCACAAGATCTCGGCCATCGAGTGACGAACAATTATGAAACTCAGTACATGCAATGAACATACCCAAGAAATTTCATGGGGGGGGGGGATGAATTCCGCCCGCCCCCTCAGATCTCGGCCAGCGAGTGACGAACAATTATGAAACTCAGTACATGCATAGAACAACATGAACATACCCAAGAAATTTCATGATTATAGGTCAAAGGGTTTTGGAATTATGGTTAATTAATCATTCATATGCACGAATGAGAAATCTGCTTTGTGTACACTATGTACATGTATATGGGGAAATTCATTTTTCACTGCTGGTAGCGCCGGAAAATGTTTCGCTGCGCAGCAACCCGTGGTCCGAATTTTATGTTTTGGGTATAAAAAGATGCACCAGACTTGAGGCTAACTAGTCAGAACAGCACGGGACGCGAAAAATTGGATTCAACCCCCCCCCCCCTTTTAGGGTTAAGATGTGGGCCATCAAAAATTCAACAAGTTGTCCACTTTTAAGGCCCTTATTTTATCAACAATGTTATGCATACCCTAATTTGGAGGTGTGAATTGTGTACTCTAGTACCAGCCTCTGTGCTGTGCTTTTGTAGTAGTGTATCAAAACAAGAGCCAGACTACTCAATTCAGCTGTGAAATGCCAATCTGCACAAAATGTACGCTATTCTAAGACAGCTTTATTTAATTGTGAGGCACCAAGTACTTCGGTTTAGTAAAATGTTTCACTACTATTTCAAAATTTCAAAGCTTTATCCCTAACAAGAATTTGAATTTTATTTATGGTGGTTGAAGACGGACTTATGGTTGGACAATATAGGCAGAGGGCACTGACCTTGACGCTACTATCGTTGTAGCAATACCACTTCTTGTTGGGGTTGACCGCATAGGCCACGTAGTGACCACCGCCCAGGATCCCACTGTGGCACTACAAAGAAAGATAAAAGAATAGCTCGAAATGATCACGGAAGCTGCGGCCCAACTGTAGACCTACTGTAGCCTAAAATCTAAGTTATCCCGTGAGCGCGAGTGGAACACGGAATATTATCTTTAAGTAAACTTGAATCCTTGATCCTGATTGGTCGATCCATGGCAACAAGCCGTGCTACATATAACCATGTAGCACGGCCTCGGTCCATACCCCACTCCGCTGTTCCAAGATGCGAGCAACATTCCAGCTGCATACGCTAAACTGCTGAATGTCCGTGTAAAGCATGCAAGTTCCAACTGTACTGTACGTCAAGTTTGCTTGAAGATAAATTCGTTATCACGCTCACGCTTGTGGAACACGGAAAATGTGACACAGACGCACTACATTATTCCGTGTTCCACTCGCGCTCGCGGGATAACTTATAATGTAGTGCGCCTGTGTCCCAGATACCATGAGGCCGAAGGCTGAGTGGTATGTGAGACACAGACGCAGCTCGAAATTATCTCGGAAGCTGCGGCCCAACTGTAAACCTGCTGTAGCCTATAAATATAAGCTATCCCGTGAGTGCGAGTGGAACACGGAATAATGTAGTGCGCCTGTGTCCCACATACCACAAGACCGAAGGCTGAGTAGTATGTGGGACACAGACGCACTACATTTCCGTGTTCCACGAGCGCGAGAGCGAAAACGAATTTATCTTCAAGCAAACTTGACGCACGGTAAAGATGGAACACGCACGCTGTACATCTTTTCAGCGGTTATCCTAATACACGTGCGTGTTGTACGGAATGGCGCGCGCGTCTTAGAAAAGCGCAATACGCAGAGTGCGGTATGGACCGAGGCCGTGCTACATGGTTATATGTAGCACGGCTTGTTGCCATGGATCGACCAATCAGGATCGAGGATTCAAGTTTACTTGAAGATAATAAGTACTGTACATGATGTAAAAATCTTTTCTGACAATGCACAACTTCTCACGTGGTCGTGTCTGTCAATTGAAATAAAGGATTCCCATTTGTTGAACGGTAGTTGGTGCATGGAGGAACACCCAATTTGTGCAGTGGTACAGCTAGTGCCACCCCCAATGCGAAATGAGTGACCTCGATAGAAGTGTTTTCGGTACAAACATCTGATTTTTGACTCTAGTGACCCAATTTTACACGTCTGCAATGAGTTGGTAGCCGGTCAGTAGAGACCTGCTACAGTGTCACAACACAGGGCCATGAACCTCAGGCAGGTGTTGTTGCAAGGGCCTGAGGGACAAGGTGATTGATTGCCATGCAAGGCATGTGCTGACGTTTGTTACTATCTAACTAACCAACTAACTAACTAAACAGTGAGACATGAGGACGTGAAGAGCTGCTTGTCCGCAGCTAAAAGTACAGACTATAGTTGGTGGAACTGTTGCTGTACAGTGTTTTTGTAAATTATTATTTTTTTTATTATAAAATGGTTTATTTTACTCTCCCGTCGCAGCCCGAAGGCTGAATTGTGGGCAGGTTTACATTAAAAAAATTGCCTTGTAAGTAACGCTCTTGAATGCAAATGTTAAAAGTCTGGGTTTGGTGTAGGATTGAAATAATGGTGAGAATAAAAGGATATAAATCTGCTTACGGCTGCACCGTAGAGGCTGTACAGATTCTGACCCAGCCCGTTCTCGTCCCGATCCTCTTCCGTTTCTCCTTTAAGTAGCGGGTGGGCGTCGGTCGCGTCCATGGGCGGGCCCAGGAAGGACCGCTGCCTGGCCAGCTTCCCCCTCTCGCCCCCCTCCTCGTCCCCTGAGCTCCGTTCATCCCCCGCGCTACCGGTAGACGAGTTCTCGTTGTGGTTTTCAGTGCCGGAGTCGCGCGCCTTTTCAAGTTCGTCCGAACGTTCGGGGAGTTCGGCATTTCTACCGCAGGTGCATTCTGAGTGACTCTCCGTTCTGTCTTTTGTGGAGCACCCGTCGTTCACTTTGATCGTGTTGACGCAAACGCCCCCCTGCGGGCCCAGGCTGTCTCCTTCTCCTTTCCCCGCTGTCGCCGCCTCCTCCTCCGATTTCTCCGTGACTCCTTCCTCTAATTTTGCTTCTTCTTCCAACATCAGCATCTCGCTGCGGGGCCGTTGCCGGCCCATGATCAGGTTCCGGAAGTCCAAGGGATTCCGGGGTGCCAGGAAGTTGGACGGGTCAAAGTGCTCCTTGGGGAACTTGACGATCTTCTGGGATTTGACCCAGCGACCATTCACAAACTGGAACCTCTTCAGATGGATGACCTGCGTCAAAGACATAAGCAATTTTTGGTTTTTTTAATTTTATTTGACGTTTGAAAAGTATTTAAAGATCCAAGAAATGCAAACACATGCAAAAAGTAACCGTCTCTCAAGAATAAAATTATAGCCTTTTTCCACAAGAAAATATTGTACACAGACACTCGAAGCTTGGCTTCTCTTTGTGTTTGGCTGATGCATACAGAGTTGGAGTCAAGTCCTGACAAGTTCTGACAAGTCAATCACAAATTAATTTTCTTTAGTCCTTTGGTCTTAAGTCCCAAGCTATTCAAATGACCTATGACAAACGCATTCCTTTATTGCGGTTCATCGTCAGATTCTTGTAACCTTACTTGTGACTGCATTACTGGCGGATCCAGTTTGAATAAGGGAATAAATGTGTGCTTGGGAGGTGTTAATCACTATGTTTAGACTGGTTGGAGTCTGGAATGCTGATAATTACCCTCGGCATCAGCACTCCAGACTCCAAGCAGTCTTAAACTTAGTGTTTAATACCGACCAAGAAAATATTTATTCCCATTCATCAATACCTTTTCGGTCAAAACAGCAAACCTTTTTCAGTCCAAAAGTCAAAACAAGTCAAAAATAAAAAATTCCAATGATTTTTTTCAACAATTTTACATTCTGTTTTTCGAAACACCCCTCTAGCTATACAATGGAGTGTCCAGCTCGCCAGTAAGGCGTAAACAACTCCTTTTATGGAGATTGGCGGGTGCGTCGCGCGTACTGTGCGATGACGCGCAGGTGCAGCTGTGTGAGTGCATTGTGAATTTAGGACTTTGGAATACTGACTCACTGGTAGTGTTACACATGCCAACGTGAGGATTGTGAACGTTCAACCAATAAAACGGTAAAAGGCACTGGATTTCATAGGAGTCCAAATTTCATATGACATTTGAAAAGTGTTTGAGACCAGCCAGCCATGTCTTTATCAACCGTTTAAGACTCGCCTTGTGACGGGCTCTCGACCAATGGGAATGGGTAAAGTGTCTTAGGTATTTATGATTAACTGTTTTGGTGGAGGTTGGGAAGGAGGGGGACAAGGGAGGGTGGAGGGGGGATCATGGCCCTCATAACCTCTTCAATGGACTTGCCAGTGCTTGGACTTGTAATTAAAGTCGTGCCTTTACTTATGATGCATGGTCATGTGATTTGACTTGAGATTAACTTGTGATAAGACTTGTGGCTCAACAACATCTCTGATAAAGTCTACAAGAAGTTCCTGACCAGTATTGGTGGTAGTCTCCAGATGTCTAGCTTCTTGACGGCCAGCCGGTGGTGTTTACACTTGGAGCAGTAGTACAGCTCATCTTCTCCTAGTTCCTCCTCCTTGGTGAAGGCTCGTAGGCAGTCGTCCAGGCTGATGGGCTCTGTCTGTAAGCGTCGGCTCTTCTCTACGCTCTCGTGCTCTGTCACAACCTTGGGATGAAAAAAGGGGAGTGATGTTATTTCAGATGACAGGCAACATCCTCTCATCTTCTGGGTTACTATACGCCGTACTTCAAGCAAATATCTGGTTTAAATTTCAATCGCATTTTAAAAAAATACACGGTTTGCCTGAATTTTGCAGTCATTATTTTTTTTTCATTTGTTATTTTTTTTTTCTTAATGAGTTCCAGACAGTTCCAGACTCACCCTCTCTTGTGAGGATTGATACCTCAGGTGTAATGCGGTCGGGTCCCAGTCAATAGCCAAGAAAGTAGTTCCGGAGGTGAATGGGTCTGCAGTGCAAGATATCTCACAACCACGGCAAAATCTACGGATTAAAAAAGAGGTAACAATCAGATTTCAATATGAAGAAAAAAGATTATGTGCTACAGCGCCGTACATGTAGGTACCCTTTTGAAGAAAAGGAAATGTGGAGTTCTCTGGTTCAATGATTAAGGTGCCCAATGATTATGGTTTCAAATCCTGATCGGAGCAGGCTACTTTTGTTCTTGGGCAAGACACTTTACTGCAATTGCCTCTCTCCGCTAAGGAGTATTAAGAGCTACCTGTGAGGGTTCAGATCAGATTGTGCTGATCTCAAGCTTCTCCAGTAAACGGGTATAACATGAGGAAAAGGGGTAATATTTGTCAAGAAATGAGAGAAAAAATGAGAAAGAGTAAAAAGTCTTACCTGTACCATGGACACCAGGCGCATGTGATACCATCTTTCTGCACAGCTTTCAAGGTGAATGGGTAACTGTGGCGTGGACTGTCACTAGCAATGAACACAACAAACGCTAGGTCAAAAAACTGTCATTCATAACAAACGCTAGGTCAAAAAACTGTCAATCAGAACAAAAGCTAGGTCAAAAAACTGTCACTCATAACAAACGCTAGGTCAAAAAACTGTCATTCAGTACAGCCAAACCCTGTTGGCTAACCTTTTAGATCATAAACGATAGCTGAAAACTGTCACGAATAACAAAATTGTAAAGCTGATTCTCTACAACCTGTAAGTAACACCCTAGAGAATGGCAAGCGCATCAGGACACTCTCTTTCCTTAACCAGTTCGCGTCGGAAGATGTGATAACACGAACTGGCTGGTTTTTTTTTACACAGGCACGGCTGACGGATTGAGACGTCAAGATTGCCTTGACTCGCCTCCTGGTGACGTCTAATCATGCTAATCCCTTGTGTCTTTTGTACACACAAACACAGAGTCTGTGAAGTCTGTGGAGGCGGACCGTGTGTTGATCTTGAATTGGCCGTTGTGCACGGCCTATTGTTGTACAATTCACGTTCCAGTGCACGCCCCGGAGTATTGAAACATACAAGGTTTCGGCAAGAAATATCGTACAAATACCGTTGAAATCACTCTTGCGAATCAGTATTTGTGGCGTTTGGCTGTATATCAGAAGTTGGCTGGAAAATGTTACCTTTTGCGAAAATCGAAATTTTCGGCAAAAATATACCCAGCGCGAAGTGGTTAACAAATAGCCGGGGGAGGGGGGGGGGGGAGGGAGGGAAAGGGTGGGGGGGGATTTACAAGTCCAGTTCCTACTCACCCGTCCTCAGCATGGTTCTTGTGTCCATTCTCCATCGGTGCCGTGGAGCTGACCAGTCGACTGACTTGCATCCAGACCGAGGCGTAGAGCTCCTCGTGGGTAGTGGAGGCAGAGACGCAGGGCAGGATGAGGGGGATGCCAAACAGACACGGACGACTCTTTTGCCAGGATAGGAAGTACATGTCCATACGCATCTGGAAAGAGAATGAAAGCAAAAAGGAATTCAGATTTTACCTTGAGAACTCTCAAAAGGATTACAGAAATAGAATAGGAAAATTACTACAAATGGTTCTGAAATAATAATAAAAGTCTTTGGAGTAATATTTTATTTCAGACATTTTTCACGGACAAAGATTGGCTTTATCAACGTTTCCTTCAAACCACAGCCACTGAAATTTATCCTTTATGCCCTCATCACCGTCCCCAAGATTATCTTCATGATATTTAAAGCGTTGCATTTTGTACGACGTAATCTGACATCTCCAAAAATAACGCAATATGTGGATTTTACTTCAGAGCTATCTTATTAGCTTCAAATCATAAGTTAAATGTTTAAACTTATTTCCAGCCAAAAAAAAAAAATTCCAATCAGAGCTTGCTTATGTATATAAAATGCGTCTTTAGACACATCTTTGGAAGTGACTTCCTTTTATTGGTTTCTTCAAACTGACAACATGCCAGAAAGAATAATTTCACAGGGAGTTTAGTTCAAACCAAGTAAACTTTTCAATAGATAATTCGATCAGTTACTTTTTGGATAGCTACAAATAATGTACTCTACCTTTAAGTTTGAAACAAAGAAAAAATGGGTAGTTGTTTGCTTACCATCTTGCGATGCATGGCAATGACGAAGCCTTCAAAGCTATAGACCGTGGGCTGGGCAGTGCCTACACTGCTGTTGGCACTAGCCGTACTGGGAGTGCGGCTATGCTGCTTGACCGGGGTGGGGGAATCTCCTAGCCTCTCAGAAACTAAGGAAAGGAAAGAAAAGGACACAAGTAATTCACTTGTGATTGAGATGAAACAAACGATGGTGTTGCTGAATGTGAGACACATTTGGTTGTCACTTCAGCACTATTATTGATCAGCTTCGAAAGTCCTGAGTTCTATGTTTTCTTACTGCTTTACCTAGAGTGGTTTTTATGCTATTGATGAGAGAACTCCATAGAACTTTATTCAAAATTTATTGGGTATTAGCGTCACGCAATCATTGAAAAATATCATGAAGATTTTTTTCCAAAACGCAATGTTTCCGGTTCAAAAAATAGAAAAAATCACACATTTATCAAAGTTTAAAGAATAAAAACAATACAGGGCGAGTAAAAAAAAAACGAAACCCAAATGTCGGGGCCATTGTTTTAGTGAAGTTCTGCATGTAGTACTTTCAAAATCTAGGATATGAAAGTTCAATTCATAAGCTTTCTTTTAGTCCAAGTATCATTCAAATCACTCATGTACTTTTCAAGTTAAGGAATTTTAAACACAACCATGGTTTTAAAAGTTCTGTCCACGGATCACAAAAAGGCAAGTGTTTTTTTTCAGCAAAACGAAAACAAATCACATAGGGATGTGTTTTTATTACAAAACATGTGGTTCTTGTCATGGGGCTGGTGGTTGACTAGGATTTTCAGAGGCACTCACAATGTTATTTGGCTATGTTTGAATGAGGAACTTGTAGAATATGAATTTTTTCACTACAAATTTTCAGAGCAATTAATTTTTTTTTTTTAAACTGGACTTGATTTTAGAGCACAATCTCACAACAGAGAGTTTTTATAAGTGCTTGTATTATATAAATAATGAAAGGTTTGCGGAAACACCATGTGCGAATAATTTCTCAACTAAGAGAATGGTTCTGAAAAAAACCAGAGGTATAAACTCGACGTTCCGGTCAGTATGCTCTGACCGTCTTCAGGAGAATCTTCAGGACGGTCAGAGCATACTGACTGGAACGTTGAGTTTATACCTCTGGTTCTTTTCAGAACCATTCTCTTAGTTGAGAAATTATTCGCACATGGTGTTTCCGCAAACCTTTCATTATTTAGTATCTCCACCATGCAAAGCCTCAAATCTTACTTGCTAGTATTATCCACTAAACTTACCCACATCCCCGTTGGGCCTACTGGGCGTGCCCTGTCCCGCCTCCCCATTCTCGCTGACCACTCCCCCTCCCTCTCCCACGCGAGTCATGCTGACGCTGGTGGCCTGGTAGGAGGCACTGCCGCCGTGGTTACAGCGGACCACACCGTTGGGCGGGGCCTGATGGGAGGCGGTGATGGGGTCAGGGGTCGGGGAGTTGATCGGGGGGAGGGGTTGGAGATTGGGGAGGGGCTGGAGATTGACGAGGCTTTCTGATTGGATGGCGCCTGGAACGGGATCAATTTAAAAAATACTGTTAACACTGTTCACAATATTAATCAAGATAATAAACAAATTGGGTGGGGTGCTGTGATTTAATGGTTACAGTGTTTGATTCATGTGCCGTGGTACATGGGTTCGAATCCTGACCGTGGGAACATGGTGCTTGTGCTGAGCAAGGCACTTGACCACTATTGCTTCATCCTTCGGATGGGACGTAAAGCCGTAGGTCCCGTGTGTTGTGTAATGCACTTTAAAGAACCCAGTAACACTTATCGCTAAGAGAAGGAGTTTGCCCCGGTGTTTCTGGCAGTGGCTGCAATATGTGCCCAGCACCTTAGGTGCTGGGTCTCATTATTTCTCATAGACTTCATTCATCTGTCTCTAATAATAGACATAATTGCCAGCGCCTTGAGTACCTAATTGTTGGTAGATACGTGCGCTATATAAGACTCCGGTATTAATCCCAAATTTCAAAACGATGAGTACATTCTTCACGAAAATGAAGGAAATGAGTTGTACTTGAACAGTTGACTCACCCTGTGTGCTGATTGGCTGTTTATTTGCCGACGTTGTTTGTGACGATGTAACTAATGGAATTTCATAGCAGTACAATAGTCCGCCTAGCAACGTCCGAATCTTCTGGGTGTCTGTTGGAAAACTCTATGAGAAAAAAAGGAACAAAATAACAACATTACAATTCTACTCTGTAAGGCCCACACTGTAGCTCAGGCTCAGAACAACTTGCGTCACATTACAGATAATTTTTTTGCCAAAAAGGGCATAATTTTCAAATTGAAAATTAAAAAGGGGAGCAATGTAGTATGCATTGTGTAAAAAACATCCTAGGGTAGGTCCTGTACTTCAGGGAGGGGGGAGTAACATTAACCATCCTTTGCAAACTTACATTCTGTGCCAAGTTGTCCTCTCAGTCAAAATCAATCAAGTGACTGTTTTCAACAGTTAAGAGCTCACAGCCTACATAAAGCAGGATTGACTGGCTGGGACTGTTTATGTAACTTAATACGGCTGTGCGTTGACTGTAGGTGGTTGACAAGCCAGCTGTGCCTACCACTTGCCTGTTTTTGTCCGTTGACTGAATTTGACTAGTCACAGTGCTTGCTTGAAATATTATCTGACTGATGGTGTCTAGATGGTGTAAAAAGGCATGACAGGAGAAGAGGATTGAATTTGACTTTTTGCACTGTTTAAATAGCAGGAGGGTTAAAGTTGAGGGATACCCAGCACCCCATTAAAATTTGATGCCAGTGATGCCCCCCCCCCCTTTTCAATTTGGGCCCAAGTGATTCTCCGGCCACCCTGTTGCTCTTGACTTACCCTGACCATGGCCCCTCCAACCTCCACCAGTAGTAGCTGGTCAGGTTGCAGATCACACAGTTCACCTAGCTGCTTCTTGAAGGCCTTGTACTTGGCTTCCATGTTCAGTCTTAGTCCGTACTTGATGGGGACTGAGCCGTCCAACAGCACAACTTAAAAAAAAGGAAAGAAAATGGTGCTAACAATCAATGATGACTTCAAATTACATCAGTGAGGGGCACAACTCAATATCATTGCCAAAGTCAGGTACAGTCCTTCAAGTTGCAAAAGATATTCTCAATTTCCAAACTCAGCAAGCAGTTTTGATTTTTCAGGTTTGCAAATTGGCTGCTTTAAGCAAGTGGGCTCTGAAAGTGGTAAAAAAAAACAACCTAATCAACATCTGATGGCTTACCGACAATTTCCACATGCATGGAGCTCTCCATGGGCAGGGGTAGGGACAGAAAGATGAACGGATCGAAGCGCACGCTGGTGTGACCGCAGGTCTTGCATCGGACCTGAGACTTGAGCTGTCCCTGGAACAGGTCTACAATGACAGACTGGTTCCGCCTCAGGTGGTTCTCCCATGCCTAGCAAAAACAAAAATAAAACACAAAAACAATAGTCAAGGCTTTGAAGCGAAGTTTAGAGACAGCTTAATCAGTCAAGCACATACCCAAACAATGGTCAAAACACCATCACGAAGTTTGTCAGTCCTAGCTCCCTGTTATGATGATGGGCACAGCTATTGGCAACCAGTGATGTACATCTCCTCAGTAGCCTGGTTCTGAATGGTTGACTGTTGACTAGCATGGGTTTGAGTGAAGCTGGTCAACTATGACCAAGTTCAAGCGAGGACAATGGTTAAACATAGTTCGACTAGCTGCACTTGAACGCAGGATGGTTGGACTACTCTAGTCAGCACAGTTCCATCACTGGTTACCAACAGACAGGTGCATCATAATGCACGGCAGGGAGCCAGGATCAAGGAATCAGGTTGGCGTAGCGGTACTTTCCTCGGCTTCTACCACTGTGACCCAGGTTCGATTCCTGCCTGGCCCAATAAGTGGATGGGGTTTTTCAGTCCCTAATTGGTTCCGTGGGTTTTCCTCGGAATATTCTTCTGGAATTTTTCTCCCACATCTTAAACTGTAATTTCTTCGCATTGTATTCTATTTACTGGGCCCCATTGGAGACCGTAATGATATTTTCATCAGTATTTAACAGAAGGCGTTTGCACTTTGCTGCTACTTTGCAGCGTAAGTTATGTCACGAACCAACCATTAGTTGCTAATGGTCCTCGCCCGAACTTGCTTCTATGTTGAACTTTAGTACTCATATACATGTAACTTGCTGTAAGGTGAAGGCAGCTTCTAAGATTCCAAAACTCACCTCTTGCGAGACTTCTTCATCGGGTCGTCCGTCGCTGTCCTTCAGCTCAACGTAGGGTTTCTCCTGGACTCGGTTCAGGTCTTCGTGGAGACCGTCCAATAGGAAGGCTAGAAGCTCCTGGGAGTCTTGCTGCTGGAAACCGTTGAAGCGCGGTGCGTACTTGGCAATAGTCCACTGCCACAAGAAGGAAAAATTATAAATATGAACACATATCAGAGCAGTTATATTATAAAGTCCTTTTGCACTTTTGTGAGGAACCTTCCTAAATCCTTTTCACATGAAGTTTGGTAGCCAAAGGTTAAGTTCATTACAGCCGAATGTTTAGTATAGCGGTGTTTATCATAGCAACATTCTACTATATTTATTAGAATGAACATGAGATTATTTGGGTAAGAATTTTGTACATCACTCATTTTTTTTTTAGCTTACCCTGAGTTTGAGGGGTGCGACACTCTTGGCATTGCCGGCCCACAGTTCCCTGATGAGGTCACCATATCGCTTAGCAACATGACCCTTCATGCCCAAGGGGTTGGTTCTGGAACAAAAATGGTCAGAATTGATTCAAAACAAATTTGTCATGGTTGAGGTAAAACCACTTTTAAGTCTGTAATTTTCACCAAGAAATGCAAAAAAAAAATTCTTAATTGAAATTCCAATACTTTTCAAGGACAAAATTAGGGCTTTCCACGACCAACTCAGCAACATGACCCTTCATGCCCAAGGGGTTGGTTCTGCGACAAAAATGGTCAGAATTGATTAAAAACAAATTTGTCATGGTTGAGGGAAAAACCACTTTTAAGTTTCCCTAATTTTCACCAAGGAATGCAAACAGCTTCTTAGATGAAATTCCCAGACCTTTCCAAGACAAAATCATTTCTTTCCATGACCAATTCCGACACTGTTTTGGCATCTTTGGAGCCTATTTGCAATACGCTGGCCAGTCATCACACTGAGGCAAGGGACACCACTCCCTTTCAGTCTTCCAGTTTGACACGAGACCACTGAGCACCACAAAAGCATCACAAATGGTGCACCGAACATGCAACAAGTACAGAGCATACATGCATAAACAGGAAGTATAGTAAACTGGAATGCAAACTGGAAGTCTACCATAGCCAAATATTACGCGACATCACGTACGGGTAGTGCAGGATTCCATGACTTTTCAGTAATTTTTAGGAAATATCAACTTTCCATGACCCCTTCCATGACTTTTCCTACGACTTTCTATGATAAAGATGCAAATTATGGAGTGTCATGGCCTAGCGGTTAAGAGCACCGGACTCATGCTCTGGTGTTTCAGAGGCAACAGTGGCGCGGGATCAAGCCCGCCGGGTGGACACTTGTGCCCTTAAGCAAGGCACTTAACCATTATTGCTTCGTCCTTCGGATGGGACGTTAAGCAGTAGGTCCCGTGTGTTGTGTAATGCAATGGGCAATTCCACGGTTACTCACGTTACATTTTTGATGTACTTTTGAGATTTTTTGGGCTGTAATTACCTTACTGAAAAGGTTTAATAACTGTTATCCCCATGCTAGATAGAGTAGACCTAGACCTACCTAAGCACCAAAGATGACATCCAGAAAAATGTGTTATGTATGATAAACAAGATGCACAAAATCGGTTACTCACATTACATTTTCGTAACGTGAGTAACCATGGAATTGCCCCCTGCACATCAAAGAACCCAGTGACATTTAGGGGTTTACCCCGGTGTTTCTGGCGTCCTGTATAAACTCCCACGCAGAGTATTTAGGAGAAGAACCAACCAAAAACCAAGATGTATGGGTCTTGCCTACTGAGTAGAGCAATGTTTGGTTAGGGTGTTTACTCACGAGTTGAGTTCATATAGGAATGAGTCGGACTTGAAGTACATCGTGAGCGGCTGAGTATTGCTGATGCACTGGATGGCGGCATTCATGAAGCACGTGTTGCCAAGGTTACTCATCCCTGTCAGGCCACTCTCCGTCCGGACAACTGCAATGAGAATAGATACAACTTAGAATTGGACCCTATGCCCAAGTATGCACGCAACAGTTAAAATGACGAAGATCGCCAATAAAACAGGACCATGAAAATGAAATGTTGTTGCTACCAAGTAGCTTTTTTCCATTGCAAAAAAATGAAGCTAATGGAGAAATAGTGAAACTTAATGTCAGTGCACGGTCCTTTCTTTGCCGTCCACCGCTGTGACCCGGGTTCAATTCATGCCCTGGTCCACATGTGGATTGTGTTTTTCTATCCCTACCTGATTCAGTGAGTTTCCCCAGAATTCAGAAGGTTTTCCTCCCACCTCTAAAACTGTAATTTCTTCTCATTGTCTTCTCTCTTCCGGTTTCTTCAGGCTTGCGAGCTACAGTGCCTAGGGCGCTTTTAAGGAATCCTTGGGAAAGTTCGCACAAAAACGATTGTTGACCAATGGTTAACCATAGTTCGACTAAAGTTAGCCGGAACTCTGTCTAGTTGACGATGGTTAACTATGCTAGTCGACTATTTGGAACCAGCCTACCGCGGCTGGTCGCGCAATGATTTATAGCTGGTTATCAATAGCAATTTCCATAGCATAGTGCAGAGGGGACCAACTATCAACAAAAATGGCAGAAAACGAAACTGTGAGTGCTAAATTTCATTTCCATTGCACAGTTTTTTCATGTTAGTTTAAGATTACCTTGTTTCTGTTTGTCCTGTTTGCTCTTGGCGAGCAGCGACATCTCTTCTGGCCAGCTCAGATCCTTGTTCCTGACCTCAATCAGGATAGGCTGGTCTTCCGTGATGCCTTGCTGCTCCATGGTGCTGGAGTCATCCTCAAGAAGGATGGGGTTGCTCTGCAAATCATTGAAGACAGGAAAGAGGTGATTACATATCTTTAATTTTGCAAGCAGTGTAGGTTTTGTTATCACCAAGAATCGAATGGAATCAAATGTGGAATGGGAATCGGAGTTCCGGTCTCGGAGCAATCAATTTTTTTACGGTAGCCAATTCCAGTTGTTGTGTTGTTTATGCATAGCCGTGCATAAAGTTTGCCTAGATTATACTAGATATCATCCGCACTGCTTCTGGATATCATCGACAATAGGTCTCTCTCAAATGACGTCATTTCCTACAGACCAGCCACATGCATCGGTTGCGTCGTATTTTGAACACATTTCGAGCAACAAGCACACGTGTTTGGAACATTTTCAACCTTGCGCAATGCCTGCTTGATTGTGTAAAATATGCAGTTGCAGTTCTCCTACAGAGATATAATAATAATAATAATAATTTGGGAGGCTAATCATCCTTACTCGCAGCTGGGATGCTGAATTGGGAAGGACGCGGCTACAACGTGGTCGGGCCGCTGGCACGTAAAGGCGCCTATGGCTGCTGGCCACATCGACCCATATATGACCACGGAGCACAGCCTGAGATCAAAAGTGTTTGATTTTTCCGGAGGGAGGAAAACCGGAGGGCCCGGAGAAAAACCCACGTCTTTGAGAGAGACCTACATGTATTCCTCATTTTATTACAATGATTATGGAGGATTTTTGAAGGATTGAGGCAGCGGTCACCCCTTCACTGAACAAATGCAAGAATTACAGATGGTATTGGAGGATTGAGGTTATCCAATTTTCACATGCAGGCAGTTGGAGGATTTTGAAGGATTTTGAAGGGTTGAGGATGGATCTTAGTCATAACTTCAAAATGGTTATCCATTTTATTTCCGCATACCTCGTCTTTGAGATTCCAGAGTCTCATCTCCTCGCTGCGGATGCGCAGTCGGACCGACAGGAACTCATAGATCTGCTGCATGGTGTGCATCTTGCTGAAGCAGGCCGTGTAGGCCAGGTAGCGCTTAGGGGCTGGTGGGGTGGAGCTGTTGTGCTGGTTGAAGCTGATGCCCCCGGCACCTATAGAGACATTGCCTGGAGAAAAGGGGGAGGGAAGTAGATGTACACGTAAGAGCAAGATTCATTTGAAAAGTTGTATTTACCCAGTAGTGAATATGATACAATTTTGTGAGTTTTGTTTGTTCTTAAAGTTTTATCCTCCAGTCAAACGACAAAGATCCACTTGGGTGTTATATAAAACAAATAATGAATGTTTTGTATATTTTGTGCAATGGTGAGAATGTTTTGATTCGTTGAAAGATGGAATGTTCCATTCAACGAGGCGAATTCAATCTTTCAACTCATGAAAATGTTCTCACCATTGCACTCATAAACATTCATTATTTGTATACCAACCATCCAAATAACCGTGCAGTCAATTCAAACTAGAATGATTCTCAACAGAGCAAGTTGGACTAAGAATCAGGATTGACAAGTTCACTTAACTAGTTGATGTTCGAGTCATTTTGGAAGAAAGGTAAACATTTATAAATCAAAAAACAAATCGAAGTACTTATCTTAAGGAAAGACTTCAGAGAAAGAACTCTGAATGCACAAATGTGAACCCGCTCTGCAAAAATGAGTCTGATGTCGCATAATTTGAATTCAAGCTTTTGCCATTTTGAAATGGAAACAGTAAAATTTGCTCAAAATTTGGGTTTTTTGTTTTTGTTTTATTTTGGTTGCTTGATAGTTTTAGTTCAAATATCTTAAACAGAAATGTAAATATTGTAAGAAAAAGAAACAAAATTATGAATCTTTGGTGCTTTTCTTGGTTAGTTACAGTGTATTTGTCATTTTTCAAAGCCTTTTTTCTCCATTGAGACACTTCTAGCTTTGCAAAAACTTTACAGAATGAAACAAGCACAACAATGCAACCAAATGTCCTAGAGAGGTCCGTGATATACCAAATGAAAGCTTATTTCATTCCCATTTTATTAATGTAGTTAACTCAAAATGTCAGTTTTGCCACAACAGACTCATTTTTGCAGAGCGGGTCACAAATGATATTAGGGTTCAGAATCAATGAATGCGACTTACCAATGTTAACCCCGTTCCATGCATTCTGTCTCTGCTGTACCGTCTGATGTCTGAGCAGACGTACACTGATGGGGTACAGCTCTAAGGTTGCGCTGGGCTCCCCTTCCAAAGGCACTATCACCTAAAACAAACCAACAGAACTCAATGAAATTGCATTTCTGTAATAATAATAATACCGGAGTCTTATATAGTGCAGGTATCTACCAACAATTAGGTACTCAAGGCGCTGGTAATTATGTCTATTTTTTAATGACAGATAAATAAAGTTTATGAAATATGAGACCCATTATGTAGCACCTTATAAGGGTAAACAAGGTGCTGCGGTGCATATTGCAGCCACTGCCAGAAACACCGGGGCAAACCCAATCTCTTAGTGATAAGTGTTACCGGGTCCTTTTACGTGCGTTACACAATGCACGGGACCTACGGCTTTACGTCCCATCTGAAGGACGAAGCAATAATGGTTAAGTGTCTTGCTTAAGGACACAAGTGTCAAGACCAGGACTCGAACCCACACTCTGCTGAACAGAAATACCAGTCCGGTGCTCTTCACCGTTCAGCCATGACAACCCACAAGACCACAAGAAGAAAAGATAATTCTTCCAATGATTGAGCTTTTCACCCAACATTTGAAACGGACACAGCCATAATCATTTAGTCGCAGCACAGTGACCTCTTCTCAAAACCATTTCTCAATTTTTATCACATTGAGTATCTGCAACCTGTTCAAAAGTTCTTCTCTCCACCACGCAAAGACTCATACTGCAGTTTCCTTCCAAAAAATCTAAGTTAAGGTTGCAATCCTCATGCTTTTTTCAAGTTTCATCCCAACAAAAATAGAATCCTTTTCTAAATAGCTATTTTCCTAGCAAAAACAAAAGTTATACACTTTTGAATGAGACATCCACTGAAATAAACATTTAGCCGTTTAGCTTATTCATCATTACTTTGCAAAATTTGAATTACTTGCGATCCAAACAATAATTCCGTACTGAAAGGATGGGCTGGTTCCCACCCCACAATCAGTATCGATAATGTACGGATCGGGAGCCAGTCTGATTGAAATTGTTTTGCCGAAAATAAAACCCCTTTTTCCCGAGGTGTGCAGATGCCAAAAAAGAAAAGAAAAGTTTTTTGGGGGTTGGGGGAAAAAATGGGGAAAGAGACTTTATTTCGATTAGAAACTTTATTTAATTGACCTTTAAACTAATTTTTTTAAAGGAAACATGACAGCAACTTACATTTCTGGGCAGCGCTGGCCCGCCAGCATACCACTGTGAGAGAGCTTTCCAGACAGGCTCCGGGATGACCTCATAATCCTTGCCCTGGATTAGGGGCGGGGTCCGTTTCATCCGCCCTCCCTCATTAGTCAACGTCCCGACCTGGTCATATTGTGAAAAAAACAAAGAAGAAAAAGGTGCGAGACGGAAAATATTGGTCGACAAATGGGCTGCTTTTCTATGGATTTGATAGAACTGACAGTTCAACACACAGTGATCGAGGAACCGTTTCCAAACCTTGCCTTTTGTCAACTGCTTTAGCTTTTGACATTTAAGGCCTCTGACTTGGAGACTACAGCTTCTGGACCCAGGAGTGAGATTTGAGAAAAATAAAAAAATTCCCGCAAATATTTGGCAGAGCCCCAGAGCAACACAGGTTCTACATGTACCTGCGGTATATTTATGTATTTGCCTAAAAAGGCACTTCTTAAATCTGCCCATTGCAATTCTATCCTTCTTTCAAGGCAAAATTATACAGTGAAGAGAACTTCTCATTTAGGCTATTCTAAAATCCATGAATCTGAAAATATCTGGAAAAAGAATCAACCACTGCAGGAACATCAAATATTACAACACCTCACCCACAGATTCTGTATATTGCTGTGCAAGGCCAAAAGTAGTATACCGTAGCAGCCAAAGTGCTATACCCGTAGCAACCAAAGCACTTTACGCATAACAATCGGTATTGTGTGCAAATGCAAATGGGTGTGCGCGCTGCGCGAATTGTTCCCAAGCACTAACACTGCAGAGCTGGGTTCAAACATTTGAAGGGGTAGTTTGGAAAAGTGCAAGTAAATTTTAAACTCATTTCGTATTGAAATAGAAGTATATGTTAATTGTACATGTATTTAGGTTAAATTAATCAGTTATCGCTTAAAATCAAGCAGAATCTGTGGGAGAGGTGTTTTTAAACACATGGTGACTCTTTTATCTCGTGGTGTAGTTCACCTTGGGAAAAATAGAATGCTTCATGGATCACCTCGGGAGGCTTGTTTTACTACACCACTCGAAGCAGTCAATATTTGTATAGTATAAATAAAAGCAGGCTAAAAGTTAACCACTTGGTTTGGACATTCAAAACTTCTCAGTCATAGCTGGAGATGAAGCCAGGTTTTCGTAAACCACCAATGACACAGCTGCAGTTGTCTTACCTTCCTATTGTCAGGCATGATGAGGCAGGTGTTATCAATCATCCCCGGCTTAGGGGGCCCCAGGCTCCCCTGGTTGCCGGAATTGGATCGCTTGGGGGATCGGGTGGGGCTGTTGGGGGCCGAGCCCGTCCCGTTGCTATGGTGAGTGATCCGACGGGAGAGGAGGGGGCTCCGTGACCGTTGCTCACTCCAGGCCTGGTGATTGGCCGGCCGGCTCAGGGAGCCGACGGAATTCTGGGAAGAGTTGGAGCTGGCCTGGGAATGGTTGATGGGCGGCTGGTTGGGGAAAGATAAACAACACAAACAAAATGATGTTAAGTCCATTAGTCACTGCACGACCCAAAATTTCATACAAATTATTGTAATGTTCTACTTTAATAAACCGCTTGCACATTGTGCTCTCACTGCGGACAGATCTTTGTGATATGCATAATTCGACACTTAGGTCGACCATGTGACAACCTTGCAATGACACAGATCAGTCGGTGACTGACTTTTCAGAATCAAGCTGCGCCTGAGTTATGACTGTCAGAAACATTGCAGTCGCCGATTTTTTTGCGACCTGAATGTAACTGCGGCGATATTAAGACGATCGGCATCAGTCGGCACTCATAAATTCAACTGTCACGAGAGTAGGAAAAATTCCAACTTCTGCGCTACGACAGAATGCGTTCCCGACGGAGGGGAATCAATCTCAATAGACCTGTGTGAAGTTACAACGTCGTGCATGCATCTGTATCAGCTAAATTTATTATGAATCGTTGTCGCGTCGTGGGTGGCATGAGCATGGTTGCAAATATTCTGTGGCCAGATACTTGTTCCAAGATAATCACATGATTCTCAGTTTTGTGACCTGAGCATGGCTTTTGTGCTTGATGTTGACGGTTCTGTCACGGCGCAAGCAAATCACTTTTCAACCTGAGGCCGACTTAAGCAAAAAGAACCAAAAAAACACACTTTTTACAAATAGGCATCATCTATTCCATAGAACATTTCAATATTTCTCCCTAACAGGACATATTTTAGGTGGGTATCTGTTGCCCAATGTTGTTTTATTTATATGTAAAAGTATCAGATACATGAGCAAAGTAGTGGCGTCACATAAATTTAAGAATCACTTCTTGTGTGAAAAGAAAATATTTAAAAAAATTTAAACCAGAATTATAGCTACATGTTTGGCACAGTAGTGTTTATTAAAGATGTGTTTCCCGTGCTATTAGCGTGTTTCACCTCAAAAATATCTTTGTTTTTTTCGATTGCTATTTTCCTAGAAATGTAAAAGTAAAAACCTTCAGAATGAGACATCAAACGCAAAAATCTGACAAAAATTATTATTGAACTATTTCTTCACAAACTTTAAATTAATGGCTGCCAGACAATAATTCGGCTCTTGCAGGGCGGGTTCAATTGGGCGCAAAATGAAATTCCTTTTTCAGAGGGCTGCAGACGCAAACTGAAAAATCGTTAGGAGATAAAAATCTATTTTTTGAAGAGCACGGGGTACCGGTATGCATCTTTAAAAATGTAGCACCATTCTGTTGTTCACGTACATAACAGTAGCTAACCTAACTCATGTCTGAATAACTGCAATGTTTATGTTATGCAGGTGGCTGAAATGTCAAGGTGAAATAATGTGGGAATTTCTTCAGGACCAAGAACGCGTGGGCCAAAATTGGTCAGGTGGCCTCATTACATTCAGGTGGCTGGAGGAGCACATTGGACTATACTGCTTTATTGAGCCATATTTTGCTCTCAGTTTTAAGATATTTATCACATACAGGGTGAGTCAAAAAACACGAAACCCAAATGTCGGGACTATTGTTTTAGTGAAGATCTGCATGTGGCACTTTAAAAATCTAGGATATAAAAGTCCAATTCATAAGCTTTTTTTTATTACAAGAATCATTCAAATCACTCATGTACTTTTCAAGTTACGGAATTTTAAACACAACCACCGTTTTAAGGTTCTGTCCACCGATCACAAAAAAGGTGTGCGTTCTTTAAGCAAAACGAAAAACATTCACACACATCCCTATGTGATTTGTTTTTGTTTTGCTGAAAGAACACTGAACCTTTTTGTGATCCGTGGACAGAACCTTAAAACGGTGGTTGTGTTTAAAAGTCCGTAACTTGAAAAGTACATGAGTGATTTGAATGATTCTTGTACTAAAAAAAAAGCTTATGAATTGGGCTTTCATATCCTAGTATTTTGAAAATGCTACATGCAGAACTTCACTAAAACAATGGTCCCGACATTTGGGTTTCGCTTTTTTTTTACTCACCCTGTACGTGTTCTGGCAAAATGAGATGGAACTAAGCACAGCCATTGTGGAGAAATATGCAACAAAGTGAATGGGGGTGACTTTCTTTTTTTTGATTTTCAGATTTATTGATACATGTTTGTGTAATCTTTGATATGTCTACTACACATATTTCAAACAAATAGAATAAACATGTTTCCAATGGAACTAAATCGTTTTTGTTGTTGTTAAACATTTACCATGAGATGATAGAGTGTTTCTTTACCCATGACAGGAATTTTGTTCTGTGTGATTTGGACCTTTGGTTTAAAAGTTACAGCAATGCTTGTAAAGACTGTGAAAATCTGTTTGGGCCACTTTCTTCACCTTCCTGGTATGTGAATGCCTTTCATTAGATACCAAGTGGCATAACTTGGAATTCAAGTCCTTTCATTTTAATCAGCTGTATCTCTGGACTGGGGTGTCCAATTGAGATGGGATAAAGACCATTGTGTAGAGTATTTACTACGCCTTCAGACTCTATAGATAAGTTTTGCAAAAAGAGAGTGCTAGTATTTTTTTATCTTTATGGATTGACTACTTCATGTTTTGAGACAACCTGTACTTGGACAATTGGTCACAAATTTCCCTGTTTGCCTACTGAGTGATGTAGTGATTCCAATTGCATATTTTATGCACCAGTTTTTGCTAAGCAAATATTTCAATGCTTAGCAGATTTCTATGCTTAGCAGAGAGATACGTCACTGGTTCCCCGGTCACTGGTTCCCCGCTAACTGGTTCCCCCTGCTTACCCTGTGAGCGACGTAGTGGTTCCACGTCCTCCACCACTGCATGGAGACGAGGTACCAGGTCTGCGTCAGTCTCAAGCCCCGTCTCTTCTCTCTCTCCACCCAGCCTAGGATGACGTCTTTCTCTTCTTCGGTGGTCTGGGGTTTCAGGCCCAGGATGATGTGGCAAACCTGGGGAGAGGGGATATCAATAGAAATTTTGAATTTCGTCTGGAGATTTCCAAAATGTAGTGTTTCATATAGCCTTTTGTACAGGCCAACGTGGAAATCATGAAGCGACTGGAGCAAAGACCAAGCCAGCGTTCAGAGTGGCGAAGCCACGAGGCCCTTTCTAACTTGATTTAGGCGCTTGCATGTATGTGCGTCTCGCGTCAGGGTAGTAGCCACTCGCGCATTTATAAGGCTAATGATTAGTTGGAATTTTGCTACCCTTTTAGTGTAGCAAAAATTGAAAAATGAAGAAAAACATTTAGAAATTCTTGACAAGTTGGAAAAGGCCTCGTGGCTTTGCCACTCATGCGTGTGGTCTCCGCTCCAGTCACTTCGCGGCTTTGCCGCTCTGTCTAAAAATGCCGGATAAAGCCACGATTGCCTTGGCAAAAGGCTATGTTTCATATTGTTAACTAGCCATATTGTAAAGGTCTGGGTCACAAAAATTCCACATAATTTCTTAGATTTACAGAGAAAATGCTGATAAACCACGTTTGTTACATCTGATGTGGCAGATTCTTACAAGTATTTCCAGCACTGAATTAAGCCATTCAAAATTCATAGTTTCCCGAAGTTGAAAATTCTGCAAAAACTAATGCTAAGCAAATTCAATGGGTGAGCAACAGATGCAATCGAAGCCAGTCCAAAGAAATACTTGGACTCATAACCTGCTTTTTTTTCCAAGCAAAACACTTAAGTATTTACAACACTCATGCCCTTAATGGCTCCATTAACCCTAGGCCCTTTTTGCCAGGAGCCGTCCTTAATCCTCCAAAGTCATCCCAAATGTTGCACTTATGTTCAAATGAAGGATACCCACTGCCTCAATCCTACAAAATCCTCCAACAGCCCTGCCTCTCAAAACGTAATCAGCCTCAATCCTCCAAAATCCTCCTCTTCTTCATCAACATTCATTCAAAATCCTCCAAAATCCTCATATTTCTCAAACATCATTCATCCTCAATCCTCCAAAATCCTCCTGTACTTCCAACACCATTCAACCTCAATCCGCCAAAATCCTCCAAAATTTGTAGATTGCATTCATCCTCAATCCTCCAAAATCCTCCAAAACCGCCAGGAGGATTCTGGAGGATTGAGGGTGGTTAGGGTTAGATGTATCCTATTTCGGAACATTTGGCCACAGTTTAAAGATGGGAACAACTTTTGGTCACTAACCTGGAAGAGGAGTTTGCAGAAGTCATCAGGAAGGCTGTTCTTGAACGCCCACATCTGAAACTCCTCCTGCGTGATGCACTCGTCATTATCTCCATCGTGATTGGACAAGATGTCAGCTGCAATGTTGGCAGGATTCAAGTTCTCCACCGACCGGAAATCCTGTAGACAATTACAAATAACCACAAAAAAATTGAACACCATTGAAATTCTAAAACACACACAGAAACAAAATACTCAAAAGTTGGGTTGATTTGGTGAAAAGTTGCCTGCACGGGTGACCTTTAAAAGCCAGAAATACTTCGGTTCCCTTTTTGTCGCAGTATGAGCTCTGTGCGCCAATAAAAGAGGGGCGCCCTTTTACCTAGCAACGACATCCCATGGGCGGGACATTTAGCTGGTTGACGTGCACCATTCCTTGTGTGTGACGCACGTACACCAGGGGATTTGTACTATGTACACGCTGTGGTACGGCCGCGCGTTGTGGCAAAATTGCAGTCAGGCAAGATGGCGTCGGTCGGTCACCCCTAACTGTAATTTGTTTACCGGTGAGGGGGTTCTTGTGAACGGATACCTCAACATTTTTTTTTTTTACAAACTTGAGAAAACCCTCACCACTTCTTGTCCCACTCTGTTTTCTCGCCGGACGTTGATCAGGCTTTTCACCATCTTCTCCAGCTCTTCTCTGTTCAGTAAGCCGTCCAGATCCGTGTCAAATATCTTGAAGAAAACTAGGAGAAGAGAAAAAAAAATGAATGGGAAAAGTTTCAAAAACTATGTCAACATTTTTTCATTTTCCAAGGCTTACATCTTTTCAGTAAATAAAACGACTAAGTTACTTTCAAATGGCGATTCGTTTTATGACAGACCACTCCAATTTTTTTCCTAATACCGAAAATCATTGGCCCCGTGTCTATACAGACAACTTGGAAAGACATGTAAGCTTTTTGTTATTTCTGAAGTTAGCATTTCTCTAGCACATAAAATAAAGGTCTGTCCTTGAAGAATACTCCATTCTAGCGATTCTTTTAATTGTACATTTTTGTTTCTAGTTGAAAATTCTTGGCCCTATTGGCTAAAAGACACAAATTTGTTTGTGTCCAACTTATTCAGGCAGGCAGAGCAACTACCTCTCAGTATGCAATGGTTCAAGGCTTGTGACAAGCGTGCGTAACTCACTAAAGTAAGAGCTTTCATCTCTAAATAGAGCGGACAAGTTGAGCTCAGAAACCTGCGAGATTTTACAAGAATACAGCACATCTGGGCACCATGTAGAGCATCTACAATGTGTGTAACGTTATATTTTTTTAAAAATAACTTTGTGTCCTGACTTAGCCCATCCACTCAAGGGTAATTAATGGGTACTTCGAAACAAAAGAAAGCATGACAAATTTACAACATATGGAAAATGTTGCGAATTGATGACTATTATAAAATTAACATTGTTGACCTCAACTTCCATTCAATTGATCACGCAGATATCAAGTGGGTAAATTCAAACACGGGAGTCTGTGACTAGACTAGTCAGTGTTTGGTGCCAAGACGTTCTCATAAAAAGTGAACCTGGACTGTTGGTTCTTGCCCACTTATTTTGGAGTCTAGCATATTAATGGACGGACTGAGATGAAGACTTTTTTCAAATTGTTAGGCAAAACCTCGTCTCCCAAGGTATCAAAAATATCAACAGATAAAGAGTACAAGTGGACCAGCATTTTTTGGTACTAATATCCTTCACTGATGCTTGTTGCTAAGCTACAGAACGCCCTCGGTAGTATATACACAAGACCCAATAGAAATGAGCTGTTTGTTGGACTTACATTTTTGCCTCTCTGCCCGTGGGCCTCTACAGCATGCTGACAGACCACAGGCCATCTCCTTCAGATCGATGTGATTGTCACCGTTCACATCGAATGCATTGAATACTCCTAGTATTAGTGGAGAAAAGATACCGTCAAAGATCAGAAGATTCCTCTATAAAACTTGGCTAAGGGTATTGCAACATCACATTTAAGTTTTCTTAATATAAACCCTATTAAACCCTGCCAGACCGACACATTGCATCAGGTGGTATTGTCTAGTGCACTTTAATGCATTCAGCTATCAACACCAGTGCATTAATGGCCACTTATGAGAAAATGAGAGCTTCCTCAATCAGTGTTCTCCAACTTTGAAAGCTAACGGTCGGTGTGCCATCAAAAAGCGGAGGGGGGGGGCGCTATAATTATGTTAGGGGCGCTATTTGCAGATGAACATGTACGTTATGTACGGATAACGGCTTTCAGGCCATTTCTAACACAGTAACACTAACAATTAAGTACAATACTGGCTCGGCATCATCTTTTTTAACACATCAGTGACCAGGGACTCTGAGGCAGTTTGGCCTTGAGACTTTTGACCTGATGGATTGCTACAATGGGCAGGCTTGTCAGTTTGACAAATGTTCCATGTAACTGCTTTTGGCAGAGTTTCTGGCCAAAATGTACCCTGGAGGGTGAAGATTGTCCCACTTGTGTTTCTTTTTTATTATTTTTTCCTTTTTTTTTTTAAAGCATGGCGGGCAACTTTTTAAGGTTGGTGGCAGCTTTTGAAGCTTGGCGGGTGCCTCAGAAAGCTTGGCGGGGCACCAAGTTATAATTACAGGTTGGAGAACACTGCTCCATGATGAGAGCTAGTCCCATAGAACAATGCCTCAGTTGTATCCTGCCGCATTCGGGGACCACAGTTTCTGAGGCAGTTTGGCCTTGAGACTTTTGGCCTGATGGAGGTTGCTGCACTGGGCTGGCTTGTTTGAGACAAGTGTTGCATGTTGCTGCGTTTGGAAGGGTTTCTAGCCAAAATACCCTGGAGGGTTAGGCTTTTATTGCATCTTGATTCTTGTAAATCATGACATTTAGAGATCCCAACTGATTTTGCAACAAGATTTTTTGTTATGACAAGATTTTACTTGCAACCTCCATGGTGCACCATCATTGGATCACAATGAATCTCTGGTGGTTGGTTAATTCTAGCAAGACATTTCTGGCCCTTTTACCTGCCGGTTATACATTATAGTCTTTGAGTAATTTGTCACCACACTGGTCGTGTAATGCCTCTAGACCTTTTGCATATTCAGCAGCAATCTTTGGGGGTTTTATTTGCTATTTGAACTCAGTGACAATGAATAAATAAGAGGTCATCTATGTATCCCTGTGAAACAAAAGCACCAACCTCGTTCCCCATGGGTACAATCTTGCTGCACCATATTGGTTCCCATCATGCCTAGCGCAAGCTTCACCCCTGGAATTGTGTATTTTAAGTATCCCACTATTTGGGAGATTTATATTAGGACTGCAGTCGATGTGTTTAACGCACAGCGCAATACTTTAAATTTTGAAAGGCTTTTCTTGTAGAATCAATCCTTTCATCCATGACATTTAGACGTCGCGTGATAGAGCAAAGATTTATATCTGTCTTTCCTTTACAACACAAAATACACTTTTTTTGGCAAAAAACGAGGCTTCCAGAATCCATATCCTACAGGCATCACGCAGTCAGTCTTCAAATCATGTACCCGCGCAGCACGCTCGCAGTACGCTCTGAATAATCAGTCAACATCGTTGATGTACTCTACACGGCCAGGGGTTAGTGAAGGAATGCGCACGCAGCCCATGGAGTCGAGGCTGCAAAAAGCACCCACTTTAAAGATGGCTGCAACGCAAAGGATCTATGGGTTTCATTCATATCAATGTCTTTCACATTTGGCCAGCCTCATTTGGTGGAATCACTAGAGACTGAGAGTAACAGGGCACAAAGTTTACAAATGAAATGGAATGGCCACTGACCTTCACATAGCTCCTTGGGCATAGGAGGTGAAATGAGTGGAATGAATGTGTCCAAGTCAAAGCGTCCCGTCTTGGATTGCGCTTGCAGTGCCCAGTATTTCTTCTCTAACTCAATGATGTCTGCTTCCTCCACTGTGGGAAAACAAAATTAGATTTTTTAAATTAGAGAGACTTTTTAACAGGTTTACTTGCCAAATTGTTCAGGACTAATACGAGTGCATAAAGATGGAATGAGACGATATTCCCTTACTACACTCAACCAAAAAAGGAAGTCCCCCTTCCAATACTTTTGTGTCTAACTCAAAAACTGCCGAGCACTTCTCGCTCAAATAACGACTAATCAGTACAGAAATTCCTTAGCAATCCAGCCATACTCGTAATTTGGCCCAAAACGGTGATAATGTGTACGAATTTATGCAATTTATGACAAATGATACCGGAAAACAGTTGCACTTTTGTATACGTGCATGTTGTGGTTCACACTTGCCTTGCAAGAATACAAAAGTGCACTTTTTTTTTCAGTACCACTTGTCATAAATTGCAAAAATTTGTACACATTATCACTGTTTTCGACCAAACAAAGAGTATGGCTGAATTGCTAAGGAATTTCTGTACTGATTAGTCATTATTTGAGCTAGAGGTGCTCAGTAGTTTTTGAGGTAGACAAAAAAAGAATTAAGGAGGGACATTCTCTTTTGGTTGAGTGTAGTTTGTATTTTGATTCAAACAATAAATTTATTCATTTCTTAGACAATCTAAGCATATTTCAGAGTTTAGCAAAGAATTTTGGCTTAATGGCATGTACACATCCCATATCTAAAGGATTCCATGTTTATAAGGTTGAAGCGGAATCTCTTTGCTGGTGGTACAAGCACAGAACGTTTTATGCAGAATTTTGTGGTGATGGAAGTGATTATTGGTGTACATTTACATTTATGGACAGTACAGGAACCGGGTACAGAATTGAAGTAAAACACGGATAACTCGAAAAGAAACCCACCCCAAAACTCCCGGAATTTGTCTGAAGGGCTTTATAGCTTTACAGTGCAAACTGCAACTTTCGCAAGCGTCATCTGTCGCGCATTAAACTGCACATAAACGTGAAATCTGTTTTGGTTTTCCATGTTTTCATTTGGAAAATTCCCCACAAATGGCATTCAAACCTTTCCTTTTCATTGTCTGAGAGGTTATTGAGTAATTTGAAAAGTTGGTTACGGATACCCAATCCCATAATCTGGAACTGGTTACTAACAGCAGTGGTCGGGTACTCGAATACCCGGTTCTGATGCACATCACTAAAAGTGATGACATTGGACCCAGACCAGAAAGCAGTGTTGCAGTGAAGTCCCTCACAAGTCCTCACAAGTCAATCAAAATTCCTCCAGTCCCAAGTCAAGTCACAAGTTACTGTAGGTGGATTGACTTGTGATTTGCTTGTGACTAGAATTGTATTGGACTTGACTACAGTACTACCAGACACATGACTACCGGTATGTACATGTAATTATAACACACCTGTTGCTTGTTCTTTATCGTGGTTGGATGAAACGCGGTCACGTGTGATTCACAAATATAGGCTAGTGTATGAAACTTGCATCAGCGTGAACTACATGTAGACACGCGTCGAGGCATTGTGCGCGCGTAATTTCCAGAGTATAGTGCCTGATCGGGCACTATACTCAAACATTTGTGAATGGTAACAGTAATCTAAGGAAACTAAAAGCGTTCCTTTAATTGTTGAATTGCTTACAGTTGAATTGCTTATGAGTTAATTGTTGAATTAAAACAGTTCAATAATAAAACCCTGAAAGGTTTCTTTTCTAATTTTATATTTTGGACAGAGGTGAGTTATAAAACACATATGGACTGGCATAATTCGGTCACTAGTGCACATCTATGCCCCCTCGGGCCTGTGAGTGACCAGAAGAGGGTCCTATTTCCCTCGGCCAAATTAGGACCATCTTCTGGTCACTCGCAGTCCCTCTGGGCGCATAGGTGTGCACTAGTGACCTCATTGCCAGTATATGCGTATAATAATGTTCAGAACACATCAATTACATTTGAAGAAACTAATGTTCTTACAGTGTGTGACTCCGGCAAGGGTCTGATAGAATGTGGGCGTGTCGCTCTCATCCGACAACCGCAGCCCCGGTTTGTTGGAATCCTGCAGTAACCATGCCGACAGCTTCATCACATGACTGTGCTTCAGGAGCCAGGAACAGAACTGCTCATACGATGCCCGATCATCCTTGAAAAAAAACCACATAAGTTACAGTTAGTCAAAATAAGGCACTTGGTGTCTGTAAAGTCCTTTATATTACCGGTACCCCCTCAACGGTAAGAAAGGGAAAAGTTGGGGGAGACCACTGGAGAGATATTTGAATGTATTGCTGACAACGCCTGATGCTCACGCCAAGACGCTTAGCTTTGTGTACTTCAATTTTAAAAATGTTGTGCGTACTTGGTGTTATACGCGCATGAACCAGAACGCGCAAGTGGTGTGCATCCACGGGGCTCTCGAATGTGGTAAAAAGCGCCCTCTCTTGTTCGCGTAAAGAGCCAATAACAAGGGCAATCAGATTTCGCACTCCATTTTCTACCAATTTGGATCGTTTTACTGCTATTGGAGTTTCAAAACTGTGCAAACTTTTTTTTAATTTTTTTCAAAGGGATACATCACATTTTGGAAATATTTTGGAAATACAATAGAGAGCAAAGTTTCTTAAAGGATGTTCCTTCTCTAATGGCCATACTACCGGTATTTTGATTTGGGCAATAAAAAAAATGTACGGAATCATTCAAGAAAGGAGGAAAACGCTCCCTTGTTTTGTGTTGACCCACAAGGACTGAAACGACGAATTCAACCACAACAACCTGAAGTGAGGCATCTTCAAGTGGTCAAGTAAAGTAACTAGATTTGTCTACAATGCACAATCAATGGTAAAAATACATGTACAGCCTGTCTAAAAAAAAATGGTACAATCGAAAACGATTTTTTTTTTTCAATATTAAATCTCAACATAAGTAAGTCGTTTTGAGCATCACATTAAAGAAAAAAGACCAGGCTTTCCAATACTTTTTGTTTCATCTCATTTGTTTTTGTCAATCCAGAGATAACTCCAGTTTACTGCGCAACACAAAAATCGAGTTTGTGCCACTTTCTGGTTGAGTGAGAACGGTGAAAGAATTAGTGTATTTCATTAAAACATGCAATAAATATTTGTATGTGTTTATTATTTATGAAAAGAAAATATTTATCATTGAACTTATTACATGTATGTTGACTATTAAAGATTGTCAATTCAGAGATATAATCAATTTAGTGCGATACACCAAAATTGATTTTGTGCCACTTTTATGCATGGGCAGAGTTGTTTCGAGAAAACCAGACTTCCTTTGTGTACTTTAATCTGTGATTTGTTTCTTTTGCCAAGTTGCAATCTTTTGTGAGCTTCAAGACAGCATGGCACAGTACTCGAAACAACTCTGCCCATGCATAAAAGTGGCACAAAATCGATTTTGGTGTATCGCACTAAATTGATTATATCTCTGAATTGACAGAAGCAAATAAGATCAAACAAACACTATTGGAAAGCCCAGTCTTTGTTCTTTAATATTATGCCAAGTAAGAATGACTTATTTTGAAATTTCATATTTAACCAATTTTTTTTCTGATTGTACCATTTTTTTTAGACAGGCTGTATGTATATGAATGTAAGTACCTATTGAAGTGAGAAGAAAAGTTTCATTAAATTGTTGTATTACCAATACTACTAACCCAATGGGGCTTGTTTCATAGTGAACGAGAAGTTCACTATGTACATGTACCGGTATGTGTATACATTTTACAAATAATTGAAAAGGATCAATTGCAATGGAACAGTTATGTCTACAATACAACAGGGCTGTTCCATGATGGCCATTTCTGTAGGAGAAGTGCAACTGCGTTTTTTTACGCAATCTAGCACGCATTGCGCAGTGTTGAAAATGTTCCAAAACACGCGCGCTTGTTGCTCAAAATAAGTTCGAAATGCGACGCAGCTGATGCGCGTTATGCACGTTGACGCTAAAATTGCCGATGCACGTGGCTGGTCTGTAGGAAATGACGTCATTTGAACAAGACCTATAAACAAAAAATGTTTAAAGCTAGAGTCCATCATTTGCAGCCATCCGAAAAGTAACTGGCGTAATTATTGTTGAAAAACAAACTTGGTTGAAAGATAGTAAGGGGACTAAACTCCCTGTGAAGTTATTCTTTCTGGCAAGCTGTCATTTTGAAGTAATCAACGAAAGAACGCATTTCCAACGGTGATTCTTAAGAAGCACCGTAGGAAAATTTAAATTAGTAGTTCGTTTTGTTATTCAGCGCAGCGCGCACAAGTATTGGAACGACGCACACGCGCGCGCGGTTGTTGTAATTCGTTGGATCAGTGCGCGACGTCGCGTATAGCTGCAATTCAAAACAATTCAAAACATGATTCAGTAACTTTTGATTTGAAATTGAGATCTAAGAATGTTGTTTTTCTCGGAATGTACAGCTGAAGCTTAGCTGAAACTTCATCAGGTTAGTTGCTCAGTATCCTTCATTAGATTTTGAACTCTCTTGTTGCTTCAAACGAACAAAATGCACAAATTACAAATGATGGACTGTAGCTTTAAGAACCATAAACTCAAGTACCCGATCAAATTATATTGAGAGGCAATCAATGTTACACCCGTCCATAAACCATATGGCCATTCTGTTTGATATTGTTCCACTGTCATGATTTTTCTACTCCATTTACAATTGTAAGTAGAGACAGGTGATTCACAAATATATTTTACAGCTGTGTTGGATTACCTTTCATGCATGAAATGTACATGTGTAATTTGATTTTATGCCCTGTTTGTGTTAACACAACAAGGATTAGATGTCACGGCATAAAAATAAAATTGTTGGGGGGGGAGGGCTAGGAGAAGGCCTTCAGAAAAGCTTGGCAAGCTTCGAAGCCAGGATTATGAGTTGTCACACTACATGGGGTGGAGCAGGGTGGAATTTGGGTGGGGGGGGTTCTTTCTGAACAGGTGGGCAAAAAGGGAGGCATGCTGCCCTGCCTGGTGACAATGACGTGGATCTGGGGTTGGGGTTGGAAGAGGAGTTGGAGTTTTGGCTACGGGATTGTTTTCCATCTCTGAACATGTGGGCAACTTACTGAGGAAGAAGGCTGCTTGTGCTACCTGACAATGAGGTTGGTCTGGGGGTGCAGTTGGAGGGGTTTCAGCTTGGGCTGCGGGAGGCTTTTACTAGGTACATGTACATGTACGGTAACTCACTGGGGAGGCAACCTGCCATGCTCAGGTCAATGAGTGGGTCTGGGGGTGGGGGTGGCAGAGGGGTTTCAGTTTAGGCTAGGGGACCGTTGTGCTGCTCTGGGCTTCTGGACCATTTACTGGGGAGGCAGGCCGTCATGCTACGGTAGGTGATAAAGAGGTGGGTCGGGTAGGGCCTGAAGAGAGGTTTGAGGGTGGGCCAGCTAGAGTAGGATTCTACCTCTTTGTACATCTGGACAACTGGGGAGGTGGTAGTCTGCCCTGCCAGGTGACAGTGAGGTGGGTCTGGGAGTGTGGTTGAAGAAGGGTTTGAGCTTGGGCTAGGGTTGGGTTTTTAGGGATGTAGGCTGCCATGCTAGATGGCGATGGGGTGGGACAGGCATCAAGGTATGGGGTTTGGGGCGGGACTACGGAGGGTCTTATGAAGCAGGGTAGGGGCACTAGGGTGGGACTGTGGGTGGAGTGAGGTGGGCTAGGGCAGAATCTCTACCTGTAGGTAGGGACTTAGGGTGGGGCTGGGTTGGGGCTAGGAGGTCTTACAAGAGGGAGTGGGACTAGGGTGAACTGTGGGTAGAGTTGGGTTGGGGCTAGGGGAAGGTCTTATTAAGTGAGGGAGGAGCTAGGTAGTGTGGGACTGGAAGGATTGGGGTTTCAAGGCTAGGGGAAGGCCTTACAAGAAGGACACTAGCTAGGGTGGACAATGGGTGAGGTTAGGTCAAGCTGGGAGGGCCTTATGCGTCCCTCTTTAAACAGCTGGGCCATCTTGCGGGGAGGTCAGTTGCCAAACTAGGTAGAGTTGGGGGTGGAGTAGGTGTAAGACTGGGGGTGGGGGAGGGGCTTGGGGAAGTTCTTACCTCTCTGAACAGCTGAGCAACTTCCTGGGGAGGTGGGCTTCCATCACAGGTGGAGATGAATTTTTCCAAGTCGTCCTGACTGATGTACATGCCACTGTCATGGCTGGCACACAGGGCAAAGATGACTGCAGAAAAACAAATAGAAAGACAAAATAAAGCAAACAAATAACACAAATTGCTGTTGATGCAGAAAAAGGTCTTGCGCATTTTAAACAATGTGGGTCGGCAATCTGTTCAGGGTAGTCCATTTCACTAAAAATGGGAAATGGAGTTTGTCTGACTTGTTTCACTTCATTTTAAACGTCAACGTCAAGTTTTCGTGTTTACAATACATTTGTTTTATTAATGGACGGAACTTCTGGGAGAGGACAAAACTGATCTACCATACACCTGCACTTTGGGTCGGTTATCGTTTCTACTTGGAGAGGATATCATCTCTCTCCACACTTCAAGAAGAGACAGAGAGGCCGCTGCGGAATGGACTCCGTGCACAAGCACCCCCTCAATGGCAAAAATGACAAAGTGCGCTCGTATTGAAGGACACTCAAACGTCCTTTCTGGAGGGCATACATGTACAAGCAGGTTCAGAGTTTACTACCAGTCAACCAGATTTTACAGTACACATTTCGTGCAATAAAATTTATGCAATAAATATGTACAATGTGCATGTACAAGTTTGTAGATGCTTTACTGCTAACTGGAGATCAATAACTGCAGAATGCATCTTGTTTGGAGGAAAAAGAAAGCACTACATGTACCGGTATAAGGCCGAGAAAATATACTTAGTTTCTCGTACAGCCTTTTTGAAAAAATGAAGGCGAGCCCTTTTTCTCTCTTCCCCCCCCCCCCCCCCCCCCCCCGAAGATGGCTGAAATACAAGATGGTGTCCAATTAGAATGTAAGGAGCCATAACCCTTTCTACGTATATACAAGTACATGTACCGGTAGCTACAATTTTGTTGGAAACAAACGGTAAAAAGACAATTTATTGACAATATACCGGTACATGTGCAAAATATATTGCAAATGTATGAATTTTTTTTTAAAGGAGGAGGCTTGAAAAAAAGGAAGCAGGCAGGGACGAAAAACTGGTGTTTTTTTTACTTTCTTTCCACAAGGATTGGAATGAGATCAGCTGTCATTTTGTAAGTTGTCGTGGAGTAAAAATATATACATGATGCAATTTCAAAAAAAATCCTGTGAAATTGTCGAAGTGAATGGAAAAGCTTAAAGTCAAACCAAACATACCTTAATAGTAATGTTTGCCTACAATATACATTATGTAGAGGCAAACGTGTACAATTGTAGTCAATTACTGATGTATGATCTGTATCATCAATAATACATGCATATGTACAGGTACATGTACGTACAAAGTGCATGTACGTGCACTGTTGCTCGTTTTCTTTTCTTAATCAATATGTGAACGTTTAATTCCACCGTTGAATCATTTGGCATTTAACTGAGAAACCTGACTCATTCTCACATGTTCTTGCACAATTCCTCATTATACGACTGGTCAAGCCGGCATGACGCGCACTCCCCACTGTAAAGATGTGTATGACTCAGGAAGGCATCACTGTGGACAAGTGGCGTTATCTGGGTTCATCACTGCGGTTCTTGATAACACTAAACACAAATGCCAACCTGCATGCATGTACGTGTACATGTACCGTGGATTGTACATGTACATGTATGCACAGTATACAAACTGCAGTACATGTACATGTACGGACAGGTTCATTTACTGGTACATGTTTGCTTGTTCAATTACGTGTAAGCACTTGAAAAGTCAAACTGGAAAATGAAACTCTGTGATTGTGCAGTTGTGATATCGGTACAAAGATTTATTGATATACAAAAATTTTGCTACAATCTAATACGTGGCCTGCCATATTAATAAGGGAATAAATGTGTGCTCCGGAGGTTTTTATCACTCTGTTTAATACCGCTTAGAGTCTGGGTGCTGATAATTACCCGAGCCGGAGGCGAGGGTAATTATCAGCACCATAAATACCTTATCCATAAAAAAATATCAAATAATTCGTTCAAAAAATCCCGATTTTGTTCAACAAGTTCACTTCATGCTTTTTGAAACATCCCTGTAGCAAAATAATGGAGTGTTCAGCTGGCGAGTAAGATGTAAACAACCCCTTTATGGAGATTGACGCACGCGTAGCATGTTCTGCGCAATGTCACGCAGAACGCACCTGGGGCGTTGCGTTTTGAATTTAGAACTGTAAAATTCTGACTCACTGGTAGTGTTGCGCATGCCTACGTGAGGATTGTGAACGTTCAACCAATGAAACGATAAGAGGCACTGGATTTTTAGGAGTCCACATTTTATTGTGACACTGGAAAAGTGTTTAAGACCAGCTAGCCATGTCTTTATCATCCGTTTAAGACCGGCCACGTGACGGGCTCTCGACCAATAGGAATAGCTAAACTGTCTGAGGTATTTATGAATGAGGAATAACCCCCACATTTGACTTTTCACATTATGTAAAGCGCAAATCATTGGCTTTCCAATGATACCAAATTTATTTCTGTAGCTTAATTTATTCCAAAGATATGATGCAGGACATTCAACAGTGTCCTGCCAAGTTTCGCAAACCTCATTTTGAGCAAAACAGCTTAAAAAAAAAGAAGACATGCATTGCGCCGCCAACAACGGCAGTGGAAAACGTTCTTCAGTTTTTCCACTTTTGTGGGAATTTTTTTCCCAACAAAAATGCATAGCAATCTTGGCTTTTCAATGATACCAAATTTATTTCTGTAGCTTTAAACATGTACATTATTCCAAAGATATGATGCAGAAACTTCAACAGTGTCCAAGTTTCGTAAACCTCATTTCGAGAAAAATGGCTTTGAAAAAAAAAAAAGACACACATTTCGCAGCCAACGGCAGTGGAAAACGTTCTTCAGTTTTTCCACTTTTGTGGGAATTTTTTTCCCAACAAAAATGCACAACAATCTTGGATGTACCTTAGCTACTCAAAAATACATACACTGTAACAATCAATATCAACTTTGACATGATTTTTCTATTCCGACTTCATGCGTTGTTACTCAAAACAAGGTTTTGGGGGACATTCCTTGTTTTGCCTCAGTAGGTCATATACATGTATGTATGTGCCCTTTTATGAATCCTTTTCACAGGCCTTTAAAATGTACGAAACGTAATTTGTCGAACACTTCAGTAACCTACCAGTACGCTAGCTGGGAAAATGAGTCCCATGTTACACAGAATGGGGGATGGGCCCTGCAGTCCGTAAGGCCTCCCCCCCCAAAAGTCTCCGGTTTCTGGTATGGAGCTTGCCCCAAAAGTGGTGCGGCGACGCGGCTTTTTTTTTTCTAACTTTTTTTCTTCTTCAAATGTCGTTTGATGACTGCAAATCGTGCCAGACTAAATTTAGTGCAAAATATATGGGAGTCCAGAGAGGCCACATAAAGTTAAATACTCGATCGTAACCCCATCTAAAAACAGCAGGATTCCAGTCAAACCAGTGAGTTTGGCGGTTTTGAGACATCATCTTACATTGAAAAAAAAAACTTTTTCATTTTGCCGACGCGCATGGCTACGGCGATGCGCGCATACCAGAAACCGGAGACTTTTGGGGGGGGGGGCCTAATCGGTCATTGAAATGGTTTTTGTTTAAGAAATACTGTATACATGTACCTGCATTGACAAAATCCTTTGTGAATTCATTTAAATAGTAATGGACCTTATACGTAGTCAGTCATCTTAGAGGGCATCTTTTGTTATTTTATTTCAGTAACAATGAATATACAAAAGGTTCACTCATGCATATCTCAGCAAAACAAGGCACTGCCCTCTAAGATGGCTGCTACCGGTATGCATGTATAAGGTCTATAATATGAATCACTTTTTAAAAAAAATTGGTAGGTGCTGTGGTCCAATGGTTAGGGTGTTCGACTCGTGTGCCGTGGTACGTGGGTTCGAATCCTGACCGTGGGAACATGGTGCTTGTGCTCTTGAGCAAGGCACTTTATCATTATTGCTTCGTCCTTCAGATGGGACGTAAAGCCGTAGGTCCCGTGTGTTGTGTAATGCACGTTAAAGATTCCAGTATACCCGGTACACTTGTCGTTAAGAGAAGGGGTTTGCCCCGGTGTTTCTGGCAGTGGCAGCAATTATGCGCCGCAGCACCTAGCAAAAAGGTGCTACATAATGGGTCTCATATGTTCATATACTTCGTTTACCTGTCTTTGGTTGCATTCTCCCCCAGTGCTTTGTATCCTTTGGAAAAGGCGCTATATAAATATGGTTATTATTATTATTATTATTATTTGCTTTGTCAAGTTTAATAACTTTTGTCACTTAACTTTTTGAACATAATGTCACTGATTCTCCCCCCTTACCACACCAATGATTTTCCATCTTAAATATTGCCATCTTTTTCCATCCGGTTGGAATATACTTCAAATTTAACCAAGCAGATCAAATTCTATTACACCTTTGAAGAATGTGATTATCCCAAAACAGATTACCATTCAACATGCATACATGTACCGCTTTCTCATTATTCTTTACAAGTACATGTACATGCCGTTAACAATGTGATTACTCTAGATTCTCGCACTAGCGAGGCCAAATTGAAAAATAAAATTATTGGCAGATTGTATCACACGCTGTGAGGCAAAGCATACATGTGCACTGTGGCCAGTTGCCGCTTCCATGTATCTTGACAAAGCACGGCAGAACATAAAATTCAATTTCCGCTGGAAAAAGTGCCTCCAATACGCTTGATTGAATTCCGGTTGTCATGGTGATGTTTTGTGAAGGCACGCATGCTGCTGGCCTTGTGTTGTGCGTGAATGCATGCGGGGTAAAAAAATGAAACTGCTGAGGAACTGAGGAAATGAGGTTTATTTCACAACATGAGGTACACGTAGGATTCCTTCTGTAGAGAGCTCGTTTAATATTGATCGCAGACAGATACACAACAGGAAAACATCTTCAATTAACCATTATCATGTTGCAGCCATTATGTTTTTCCCATTCAAAACGACGTAACATAAGCGAGGCTGGAAGGAAAAATAGTCTGGTTCCTTTTTGCACAAAAAACATTATCATTCAGTACTGTTATTGGATACAGGGAAC